TAAGCAGGACTGAAATGTTTCAAATTCAAATGTTTACTCAAATTGTTTATCAAACTCATTCAAGTTGTTTGTTGACTGGTCATTTCACTGTGGGATTTATGGCTTCCAGTCAAAAACTAAAACACGCGTCACAAAGAAGCTTAAATTGGGAGGCAACTGGACCTTCACTCAGTTTGTGGAAGACGTTTCGACACTTATTCAGGAGTCTTTGTCAATTCTGTTGGCTCACACTAGACTCGAGCAATCAAATCTGAGCTGGTTGACAAAGACTCCTGGATAGGAAACATCTTAAAATAAGTGAGAAATAGTCTGGTTGGTTCCTTATAATATCAGCCTGCTTGTGGTTGCCATGACCTGGATGAATGAGAATTTACAGACATAAAACACCCATCAACAGCTCTAGAAACATTCCCCAGCAGTCCACCATGCAATGATGCAACTTTCAGTTTTATGCTGATTATTTCTGACCTTTGAAACTTTAACTCTGCCCCGTAGTTATCAACCCTCAGTTTGGTTCCATTTGATGTACAAAAAGAAAGAAAAGTGTTTCAGAGACCCTTTGTTTCATGTGTGTCCGATTGACATAGCTGTGAGGAAGATTTGAGCGGTGTCACTTTGTCATGTGACTGTTGTTTAAAATGCTGTTTTTTGAATCAAAATGGATGCAACACATGGATAAATAAATAAAGAAAAAAATCATTTGTGAGATCGCATTTGCATGCTGCAATAAATTACTTTTTTTTAAGAGTAAGTGGTGGATTGATTGGTATTTGGTAAAGAGGATTTGGAAACTTTCTAAGACACTTTATTAAATAGATTAGTGTCAATCTGTTATTTGGAGTCCCTTTTAAAATGGGACCAAACATTATGGACTGGACCTGTGCTTTAAAGTGTGTTACATGACCTTTTTAATCTGGTTTTTACAGAAAACCCTCCTAACATTCCCACTGGTTACATTTTTAGTAAGCTGACAGATTCTTTATGGATTGTCTTCTTATTGTGACATTTTGGCCTTGAAAAAAATGGATGGAAGTGAAACTAAGCAGTGGAAAACCTTTGGAAAATCAACCGTCCTTTCGGCACATTAAGAGTTTAAAACGTTCATTAATTAAGGGACAGAAGCTATTCATTCAGTTGTTGCTATGGGGATTCCTGCCCTTTATACACATTACATGTTTCAGTGTTAAAGTAGCACTTTAAGAGTTAAATTTAACACCAGTCCAAGTGCATTGGGTCCCACTCTGAAGTAGTGTTAAATAAACTCTAAATGGTGTATCTCTTACTCTAGTTGTGGTTGTAATAACTGTAAAAGAGTCAATGTACTTTGACACTAAATATTTAACGCTGGAATTTACTGTGGGCCTTCAGTAACAACTGGCAGACAGCTGCTGTTTAGAAACTATTAAAACTATTAAATACATTTTAAAACCATTTGGTGCCCACAGCCTTTCAGATGGCAGAAAATATGAAGATAAAATATGGCATGTTGAAAGAACCGTGTGATTTTTTATTTGAATAAAAAAAACAAGAGAAAATGATGGTATTGGGAATAAGCAAGTTTGACTGCTTATTCAGGGAGACAGATTACAGATACAACTCTATCAAAGACATGTATAGGATGAAGGTGGAAAGAAATTCCTGCACTTAGATTTATAAAATGGGTTTGGAAATGAAATCATGAGCATTAATTTGGTTTAAAATTAATGCTTTAAAACAGCATTGCATCTTTCAATGCAATGCTGTAGTAAAGTATTCCTGCGTCAGCTGCACAATTTTGTACGTTCTTTGGTTGCAAGTTGGACTATACTAATGGGAAGGACACAGAATAATAATTACACCAGAGAGAAAGTGCTTTGAGGTTTTTTGCACTGTCAGCCTAAAATATAAAAGATTGATTTGTGTAAAAAGGCCAAAACTGAACGATTTGATGAAAATTATGCATTTGCTTTAAAAGGATAAATTGAATCTGAAGGAAGACAGAGGAGCATTTTATAAGATATTCAGTACAAAGTACAGTGTATTCCTGAAACTTCACTGTAGAAAAATAAAACATTCTTTTCAAATGTTTTCTCAAAATTACCTTCAGCTTCCTCAGAACTCCCTGTATTTTACATCCTTTGGTTAAAAGGTCAGCAATGCAACAGATTCAAAGAAAGAAAAATTTTAACAGCATAATCCTTAGTGTTCAATAATAATCAGTAAAACATTTCCATCCACAAAATAAATAAGAAACAGGAAAAAATAAATAAGAATCCAACGATGAGAGCGGTGAATTATTTTATTTACATTTCCAGTCCTGCAGATCTGGTAGCTGTACACAACCTTTAGCACTTTAAGGACCTGCTGCTATAAAATGTGCTTTGAAAAAACAAAACATTAATGGACTTGGTTCTAGAAAACCTTTATTAACCATTTTAAACATGAATCCACAGGTTTTTTCTTTTTTTGACAGTTCAAGCAGAAGATAATACCAGTTGATCAGGTCTTTTTTCTTTTGTTTATGTGATTAAAGTGCAACTTGCTGATTTCTCCAGTTTTGGTCTCTTCTGCAACAAATCTTACATTTGGTTGACGCTCATGAAACCCTCAATGTTAAACTCAGGGGTTCTCCTTCAACCAAACTCACTAGCATTAATGCTAAGCCAGGTACAGAACTCAGACTGGTTTCATACCTTATTAATAAAACTAAATAAAAACACTGTTAACATCAAGTTCTGCCCAGTTTGTTTGGTTCTTCCCAACAGAATCTCATTGACTTTTCAAAGCCGCAACCCAAAACAAACTCCAAACTTACACTTCATCATAAAAATAAGATCTGCACCTAACTTTAAAAATGCAAAACAGTAAAACCTAAGATCCTGATGCTTCTGGATCCAACATTTAAACATCGTACCTCAACTTTGTCAGATCTGAAAATATTTGCAGTGGATTTCATGTCTTTAAATGTGACAGAAGAGAGCAGCTGGGACAGAAGATCTGGAGAATACTTCGTTCTTTCTTTGAAAATCAGCCGATATGTTTGGTAAGAGTAACAGTTTGGCCTAAAAAGTTGTACCAATGGAAGCAATACACAAAAAAATAGGATATTTTCAGTTCAAGTTTCCAGTTTTTGGAGAATATCCTAAAACCTCAGGATGAAATATCAAGATAAGACAAAATATTCAAAATGTGAAAATCTTTGAATTTTGCAAGTTGGAGACACAAAGGTTTGTTGATCTTTAGAGTTTTGAGCCAAAGTTCCATTTGAATTGCTTTTTAAATTGAAATATTTACCGTTTTGCTGACATCTGTTGCTGAATTGTGAACAACTAGGACTATTCTTTGTATTTTTGCTCATGGATCCATCTGTAGACCACCTGACATGTGGCAGATAGTTTTACCTACAGGCTGTATCTCTCAGGAAGAATAAGGGCTTGACCAATCAGACGCAAACAGGACATTTACAGGGCATGTGATAAATACCCAAGAAATATTTATCGTTTGCATGTGGACAATAAAAAGCTGAATGCAATACAAACAGGAATCTGACATAGTTTGAAAAAAAATAATAATTCCAGAAAAATGAAGCCTTGATCTATATGTACACCTGTCGTTCCATAGAGATATTGCTTTAAATTTTTATCCCTAAGCTAGTCTATCTATCATGATTCAAATATCCACCAATTAATTCTATTTATTAATTAGTCTGTCCATATATTCTTCCATCCCATTATCTATTTTAATACTCTGAAAGCAAAGTGTCTGCCAAACATTTAAACTGTATTATCTCTGTTGCCTTCTCTCAATCATTGAGTCCAGCCTCTCTGTTTGAGGCCATCGTCGCTAACTGGGTCACCTTTGTAGCTTTGTGTCAGATTTTCTGAAGCAAAGAAGACATTAAACATCACTTAATGGATAAAACAATCAACAGAGAGAAGCTTTTTTTCTAGGCTACATTTAAAAATGCTGCATTTGTTGCAGCTTTACTTGACAAAATGCTCTATATTTTTCTTTTTATGGTGGTTTGATACAAAATGAAACCTGTTTTCCACAGTTTGGAGCAGTGTTGCCAACTCCTCAGCAAGAAAAGTCGCGATTCTGTCCTAAAAGGCGCTAGATGACATCATTGCCTAAATTGCATACCTCATGTCATTGGGCTGAATCCCTAAAAATGTTTGTTTTCTCTTTTATTTTGGCTCCCTTCAAAGCAGCGCAGAGAGGTTGGATAGCTGGGAGGAAGAACTGTGGGGATTCAAATAGTTTTATAGAGACTTTAACAAAAACAAGCAAAGAAAAATACATATAATTCAGCCATTTAGTTCCACAAAAAATTGACATGAATGCACAATTAGTTGTTTGCCATCAAGCGAATAAAAAAAAAACACAAAGAAGAAAGTAGCAGCAGTGCAAAGAAACGCTAAGACTGGAGGAGCAGGTAGGGAGATAATGAGGCTGTAGATTGAAAATGCAGTTATTTAATGTGAGACTAAACTGTCAGTTAAAAGTCTTCATGATTCAATATTGCGATTTAGGGTGGGATTAGCAGCAGCTTTGCATATGCACATTTATTTTGCCATGTGGTTTTGCAGTGTAAAGGTTTACTCTCCGCAGGCAGCCAGCTATGCATGATGACAGCGGACAACCAGATAGAGAGGCAGGATTATGATTGCAGAAGGACAGAATGGTGCTTTTATGTTGCTAAAGTCTCCGTTTATACAGCCAAAAAGATGCTGGATTTGGCGCTAGGTGCTTTTTTTAAATAAAGGAGCTAGAGGGACCTGAAAAGGCGCTAAATTTAGCAAATAAATCGCTAAGTTGGCAACACTGGTTTGAAGGTGAGATCGGTGAGTTCTTGAACAACACTTCAATGACAGGATGCAATAAATAAAGCTAACCAGGTATAAATAGAATTCAAGTTCAAATATTGCTAAATTATTCTTCATGTGTGATTATAAAATATAAATGTTGAATTAAAAATGATGCATATTTACAGTACTACTGTGTGATTTTTAACAGAAATGAAGAGTCGCTGGATGAAGAGGGGTGTTCTTCAGCTCTGTGACTTTGAATCGTCGCCAAGCTGAAAGCTGTAAAATGTTCAGGCTACATTGAACAGAGTGGAGTGGGTCGGCTCCGCGTGTTACCGTAGTGCACATTCAGTCTTCCTGCAGGGTTCCTGAGTCAAAGCCATGAGGAGGGAGATGAAAGTTGACCAATTTACAGATAAGGCTCTCCAAACGTCCTGCGGCACTCCATCACGCCCGCGCTTGGAGGACGGTCACAGTTGTGGGTCAGCTTCACCAGGTTGGGCAGCAGGCGGTCATACGCCAGCTTGTACTCCCGATCGAAGGCATCTAGGAGACAGAAATATGTTTTTTAACAGGTTTCCCACATATTTAATGGTAGTTATTTGACCCCATGGAGAATACTCTGTTCTTTCTTTGAAAATCAGCCAAGATGTCTTCCATGCTGAGGCCAAAAGGATGTTTTAGGTATGGAACGGTTTATGAAAACCGTCCGAACCGTTCGGTTCGACTGTCTCGGTTCGGTTCGCGTGTGTTGCGTTCAGTTCATGCGCTGCTCCTTTTTCTCATAGGCGAAGCGTTTACACTTCAGAGCAGAAGGTGGCGGTACTGCGACCAAAGCCAACCACCAGTAGTAAACAAGAAGAAGAAGCAAAGCAGCGTAGCCGGGTGTAGCAGAAAAAAATCAGTTGTTGTGGAGAATTGTGTCGGAATGGCGAGTGGGAAGGAACAGGAGTTGGAAGACGCGCCAGCAGCACTTTATAGGTCTGCTGTACGGGACCACTTTGCATTTAGAGTGACCTACGATGACGGCGGAAAGAAAGTTGTGGATAAGCATTGTGCAACACGTTTTGTTTATGCTAACAGCAACATGACCAACATGTCAGGCTAACAATCAACATATACTGAACTGAACCGAAAACCGTGACCACGAAACCGTGAACCGAACCGAACCGTGGATTTTGTGAACTGTTCCACCCCTAGGATGTTTGATAAGAGTTACATATTGGCCTAAAAAAAAACCATAGAAAAGCTGTTCTAAAAACAAAGATATGGGCTCTATCAGATACAGCTGGAGAAATGTCAGAGGATTTTATTTAACAAATGTGAGAATCGGCGGCATTAAAATGTTTGGAAAGGTCAGCAGTGTCAAAATCAACCCAGCTAACTATAGATGAGAAACATGTTTGGCATTAGAATCATTTTATCAGGATACCTGTGGTTTAACAGTTAAATTAGTAAAATAAGAAAATACCAACTCACCAATATCAATGTTATCTTTTCCCAGAGCCACCAGGGAGAGGAAGAGGATGTCCCGGTACAAACTCCTGACACAAACCACACCAAAAACTGCATTAGCAACATTCCCACAGGGAGGGATTTCTAACATTTTATATTCAGACCAACTCAGAAGCGTTACCTTTGCCGCTTGACTCCAAGCATCTTGTCCTGGAGCTGCAACAGCTGTGCCATGGGCCGGCTGACGTCGTTCCTCTGGATGCTCCTCACCACGCCTTGCAGCAGCTCATCGGTGAACGGCTTCTCCTCCTCTGGGACCGGCCGAGACAGCGGGTACCCCACATCTATCACAAACCCCGACACACACACATCAGCAGCCAAGTTTCCTTTTTTTGGCTTCAGATGCACAAAGAGAGGAGGCTGACTTTATTTCCCCACTTCAGCAAAGTCGGGGGGAATGTAACAAAAATAATAAGTGATTAAACACTTATTTTTGTTACTAATATTCTATTAATAAACACTTCTTTAAGAGTAATCTATAATTAGTCGTAGTTTTCTCTCTTTTTTCAATTTTTCTTGTGTTTTCAACCACAAACAGTTGGTCTATCACATAAAATCCAATAAAATAATATTTCTTTAATTCGCTAAATTTGAAACAGTTTAAAAACTTATATAAGGCACATAAATAAAATACCATTTACATCTTTTAATATCTGATCAACTATGAATATCTTTTACAAGATCTCCGCTAAAAGAAATAAATGAAACAGCAGCCAGAGTCTATAAAAAATCCACCAAAGACCCTGCAGTGACATTCCTCTTGAAGTTCCTGCGTAAAAACAATAAGGCAAATGAAGCGGACAGTCACAGGAGATGCAAACCCAAATAAAAGCACAGAGCAGGACCTTACGGAGAAAGAATGAACACTGCTACACATCTCATCAGCCATGCTAACTACTATGACAGGTAGAGGCTGAGTTTCCACAGAAAACAAAGTAGAGCATCGAGCAAAGCACAGACAACAGAAGACAGGCACGACTCATCTGAGGGAGCCTGCAGCAGAGAGGAAGACTCACTCTCTAAATACAGAGAACAATTAAACCCTGGAAGAAGAGAAGAGAGCAGACAGAGCAGATTAACAGACTCCTCAGAAACTGGCAGCTTCTGCACTGCTTTCTCTGCTTGTCTATAAATTTCCTTCAAAAGGCGTCCAAATCTGCTTTATCCACACATCATTTTCTGTTTTAACTGTTCAGACGGTTTTCTTTCAGTTAATTTTCTAAAGAAAGGTTTCAGAAATCTTTGCACCAGCTTTGGTCCAGCCCTGTTCCACCTGTTTTTGGGCTCAGCAGTGACTCACTGTATGTGTTCCAGAGGATGTACAGAGGCTGGATGGGGTCCTGATGCAGCTTCAGGTTGTCCCACAGAATCTGGATCAGCACGTGTTTACTGTCCTCTGACATCCAGTGACGAGGTACCTGATGACAGTCAAAGTCTAAGTTACTCCAACAGAGTCTCCATCATTGGAAGGAGTCTGAGATGATGACCGTTTCTGACCTGGGAGTCTCTGTTGCAGTGCTCAGAGGTAAGGATGAGGCCTGGTAAGCTGCTGGGCAGGTCCAGCCGTCTGAAGTACCACACCAGGTTCCAGTAGATGATGGGATGATGGTCCACCATGTCTGCTTCGGCGATCACAGGGTCGCCCTCGTTCTCCAGCAGACTCTCCAGCTCCTTCCACAGCACCAATGGGCTCAGATAGGGAACGGTCACAGGCTCAGGGTTGTGGAGCTGCCAGTCCATGCTAAGTGGGTCCTATCGGGACAAAAGTGAGAGAATTTGGAGATGGTCACTCACTGCGTAACTTTAGGTGAAGTCAGAGCATCAGAATAAGGCCGACTCTAACATAGTGGATTCCTGTTGGGAATTTCAGAGTAGAGTTAAGGTTCAGCACTCTTGGGAGAACAGATGCCGTTTTTTTACAGTTAATGATGATAATCTCTTATACAGGAATGAATAACTCAAATTTAATGCTTTTTAATGTTCTTTTAATGCTCTTAGAAATAATTTTAATGCCACCGACAGGTACCCGAATTCCTCGTTTTTCAACCACTTTTGTTGAAATTTGCCCTCCGCCCCCATTTTCTAGCCTTTTCTCCGACTCAAGCTTCTTTTCTGAACATACAGCTTTGCGATCAACCGGAAGCAGTTCCATGCAAATATATTGTGATATAATATGTCTCACGAAATTGTTTTTATAAACATTTTTTAATAAAGCATTTTAAATGCCACAATAAACACATTTAATGAATTTTAATGCCAATTAAGGCCTTAATTAAAAAAATAATGATTGAATGACTTTTAATGATTTTTAATGACGCGCAGAAACCCTATTATAAGATGCTGAAGAAATCTCACCTTTAATGAATTTGCTGTAAAGCATCAACAGAACTCCTTTGTTCCTGGATTTACAGACTATTCTCTCACGTATGCCACATGCTTTGGCCTCTGCTACCAATAAAGGTAATTAATCACTGTTCACAATGCAAAGTCATTACTTATAAACTCTTAAATTATGGTTCCTAAAGAGAAAGAAAACAAATCTTATTTTCCTAAATCGTAAAATAAAAACAAATCTGACCTGTTTCTCTTTGTATTTTTATCAAACTATAAGAGTTACAAAATAAAATCAATGGAATGCCTATTTGACTGAATTCTATATTTTTTTTATCTGTTTAAAATTTAGTATAGAAAATAGAATAAAAATTAAAATACAAATGTTTTTGTAATACTTCTTCCTTCTGATGTCTCTAGGAATCCAGACATCATCTATTGCTGTCTCTCACTATCCCAACCATTCCAGAACTTTCCACTGATTTATTTCCCTGGAAGTTCCATATCTAACCTAATCCTTCACCCTATAAATCCAGTGTCCCTCCTCTGCACAATCCCGTCTCCAGCCTGACAGCCCCTCTGATGTTCTCATTTATAGTTGCTGTTAAATTTCCTCTACCATGACAGAAGCAGAGGTCTAAGGAGGTTGTTTTCTATCCTTGTTGAGACAAACCGTGGCTTTGTTCAGATGGCTCGGCAGGCTGCCTGACGTCGGCATTTGGTGGCTGAGGTGGAACTCCTCCTCCATGGGGCCGAAGGCGCTGACGCTGCGGGTCATCGGCCCTCCGGACGACAGCGCCCCTTGGCACCGATCTGTGGGGATGTTAATACCTTGAGCTCTGTTGGGTTGAGCCCTGGGAAGATAAACGAAGGGTGTAGAGGATGGAGTCAGGATAAAAACAGTTTCAGTAAAAATAATGGTGCTGTGTAAACTCTGCACCATTTAAATGAAAAGGACTGTGCAGTTAGATAGAGATGAAAACCTCCTTTTATCTGCACAAACAAAATGTTTAAATCAATGAATGTCTTTATTGTGAGTTTCTAGTTTTGAATTGTAAAATTGGTTGATAAGATGTTAGCTATGCAGCTTTTTCCCCTTTAGCTTAAATTTCCTTCCCATGTGGATGAATGAAGGACCTACCTTCTAGGTGATGGTTTTGCAGCTACTGTTGGTGATGGAGGGAACACAGCTGTAGTGGGACACGGTGTTGACAGCGTGGACGTCCCCGTGTCCAGACCTGTGGAAGCAGAGTATGATGATGTCATGGCATCATCCACTGATGGGCTGCCCTTCAGGAAGAGCCTGAAAATAGAAGAAAACACTTGATACCGTAATCCAGGAAATACTTGGAGTTTTAATAAGATTAAAACTTTAATGATTAAAACTTTGAAGATATTGAAAGTTGGAAGAAACGTTAACAAAGAACCTTTCAAAGAAGATAAAGTTTAAATTTCCTCAGATTAAATTTCATCCATCTGTTTTCCTTCATGCTTATCCCTGCTGGCGTCGTGGGGGGGGTCCATCGCAGGGCAACACAGAGATAAACAGGACAAACAACCATTCATGCACACACTCATACCTAAGGAGAATTTAGAGAAGCCAATTAAACTATCAGTCATGTTTTTGGACTGTGGGAGGAAGCTGGAGAGAACCCAGCATTCTCAGGGAGAACATGCAAACTCTATACAGAAAGAGCCTGGGCTGGGAATCGAACCCGGAACCTTCTTGCTGCTACCCACTGCTACTTTAGTAATAAAGGACCTAACCAAAGTCTAAAAAAAGAGCATTTTCAGATTTATTTTCCTATTTTACTTGATCATAACTTCAAACTTTTCCGTTATTATTAAATAGGCTCTATGAAAGTGATGTAATCATCATCCTCTTGTACCGTCCAGGTCCTCTCATGTCCCTGATCTCCACGTTGAGAAAAGGCAGGAAGGGGTTTCCACAGAAGGGGCAGGTCGTGTTGAGGTTGGAGTCGTCGGCCGTCCAGCCAGCCATGATTTCTTCGTCATAAACCAAACAGTCACACGTTTTACAGCGAGAACAACTGGAGATCAGCAGCTGCAGGAACATAAAACACACACAGCTCTAAGACCCAAATATTCAGAATCTAATCAGTGTGTCACACATGCCAGGAATTTGCTCTAGTGAAGGAGCACTACTGACGTTCAAACCAGATTAAACTAATTTAAGTTCAATAGAAATATAAAGAGAATAGAAAACTTGAAGTTTATTAGTCATATTTTCTAAAACAATGCATAATATATCTATTTTATCCTGTAAAAGAGCAATAAACATTTGAAATGTGTCATCTATTGGTTTTACCTCCATGGCGTAGTTGTTGAAGATGCTGGTGTTGCTGGTGTAACGTGAAGATCCGAGGTCTGACTTGTCCGGCAGAGGGAATCCAGACAGAGAGAGAGGACATCCTGCAGATACATGAAAACCAGTCAGGAAACGTGACTTCTGTTTTTATTTTAAGCTGATGTAAAGGATCCAACCATGGGGGTTAAAGGGGCTTTTCCTGGAGTTCCAAGTTAAGGAAGTTCTCACCAGGAGGAAGAGACGTTGGTCTCCCCAGGCTGCGGCCTGCAGTGGGACTGTTCACTCTGCTGTGGACGGGGCTTCGCCTGGGGCTCCTGCGGGAACCAGAGGGGCCGTTTCTCTGTGGGGAGACAGCGAGGCCCTCCATGTCCTCACATTCTGCTTCATCCTGCACAGATGAGCAATCTGCATCTCCAACACTGAGGGAGGAGACACTCAAACGATCGATGTAAGCGTCCTGGATGGACAGAGGAGACAGAAAATGATTAATCATCTCACCATAAGTTTTAACTTATTTAATAGGCAATGTCTGTCTGTGCCCTCTATGTTCAAAGGAGCATAAGCACCCAGGTCAGAGATGATATACCATCTGACCGTAACAGATTTCAGCTTCTATAAGCTGGTAAATGTTTTCACTTATTGTCCCAAAAACAAACCAGGGTTCCAGCACCTTTTGATTGTCAACTTTAAAAATTCAATTCTAAAGGGTTCTTAGAGCCAAGCTTTTTTTAAATATAAGTACAATATATTATTGTAATTATATTAAATTACAATATAATTAGGTACAATATAATATAATCCCTAAAATTATATCACATATAATTATAGGGAGAGATCTTGTCAGCTTGAAATAGCAATTAGGCAAAAAACCTTTTCCATTCCATTGCTTTTGCCTTTTTAATCTAAACCTGGGAACCATTCAGATTTCTAACTGCAGGAACCCTGAAGTTTAAACATGCAGCCAGCAGATGGCAGCAGATCTCAAGGAAACAGCCTCAGCTGAACAGCAAACATTTTAAGACACTGATGCATAAAAACAAGCTGAGACTTTCTGCTTCTGCGTTTCCTGTTGCTAGTTTTATTCTCATAAGGTTGTTAAAAATGTAAAGAATTATGACCCTGAGCCTAATATCAGGAAAATTATGTTTCTTTCCAGTTAGTAAATATAAATAAGCTCCTCTTTAGCATGAGCTAAATCATCTTTAGTAGCAGGCCTTTATACCTTGGTGGGTGTGGTGTATGTAGACAAACGTGAGTACAAGCGGCTCGCTTTCTCTGCTACGCCCTTCCCAGCAGAGAACATACTGGTCTTGAAAACGTCTAGTGTGGGTGTGAGCAGGGTGTCCAGAGCGAAGGAGGATGAGGAGGGTGACGCCAGGCCTGCACGTTCGGGGTGCTCCCTGAAGGGGCTGGGGCGTGGGCTGAGGCTCGGGCTAGTGCTGGAGCTCTGACAGGAAGGTGACGACATCAGCCGCTGGCGGGCGATGGGCCGGGAGGGAGAGGTCTGGTGGAAGGTGCGGGAGCGCGGTACTCCGGTGGTCCTGAGGGAGGTGGTGTGGGGCAGGCTGGATCTGCGGAAGGCTGAGCAGGGGTGGAGGAGCAGGGGGCTGACTGGATCCTGCAGCTCAGAGCTGGATGTGCGGCTGCTTAGCGGCGTGTCCATGTGGCTCATGTAGAGTTCTATCTCTCTGGCGAGGTGCCTGTGAGTGCTGGCCTCGTCTCCTTCTAAGTACTGGTTCATATCTCGCTCAGCTGTCTGAGACTCTGCAGCCAGGAGGGACAGGGGGTCATAGCCTGTTTCAATGCCTGTTCGTTTCACTGCTCCTTTGGACGACACGGTGGCTATGCCTCCATAGCTGGCACTGCGTTCAACATGCTTTTTGTGAGTTTTAAGATGTTGGTGCCCTGATTCAGGCTTTTCTAAATCCAAATCTTCAAAATCAAAAATTACTTCTGCGTTACTCTTTTCCTCATCACTGAAGTCGAGTGCTTTTTCCTCCTCCTCCTCCCTGTGATTACAGCTGCTCACTGCTTCAGCAGACAGCCTCTCCATCCCTCCAAAGCCTCTTAAATAAGGCCTCCTGCTTTTGCTGTAATTAGAGCTGGAAAGAATTTTGGCATCTGCGCCCAGGTGTCCTGCAATCTTATCTGGGTCTGTCTCAGCCTGGCTCATACCAAGGCCAAGGACAGTGGTGCTGCTGCTTCCCACTGTGTCCCCGCTCAGCCTGCGGCCCCTAACGACCTGCCAGTCCAAAGTGCCACCACTGCTGGAGCGGCCCACCACATCCTCCAGGGCGCTCCGATGTCTCCGAAGCAGTTTGTTGCCATGGACCTCTCCAATTTCATCCAGAGAGGTGGTGAAGAGGAGACCTGCCATGTGTCCTGGGAGACAGGACACATGAATCACATGAATCAGTCGTATCAACGTTCAAAAAGGTACATTGATGAAACCAAAGTGGAAATATGTGTTCATGGTTCACACCACCATTATTGGGGGAATGTTTTGTATTTTGTCAAAAAAAACTATGAAAGGCTTCTTATGCTGCAGCAGGGCCTGAGTCTGACATAAACCCCTCGATCTACAAAGTGTCCTAGAGTCCAATGTGAGGCCATCTGTGTGACGCTGAAGCTTGATGTAACACTGGGTAATCAGTAGAAAAAATAGCCCAAACACAAAAGCAGTTTTTACAACCAAACTATTAAAAAACGTTAAAATTAAGCTATTTTTAATGACCCAGTGAAAGCTCAGACCTTATCCTGAATAAAATGATGTGACTGAACATGATCTTAGGGATTGTGTGTCTTAAAAAAGGCACCAATATGTTTGTTTGTGCAGAGCAGATCTTCGAAGAGGGTGCACAGTGTGTGTGCAAACCATTTTTTTGCGTTTGTGCTTTAATCAACATTCAGAACATATTTAAATGACTAAAGCACACAAATTCCTGTGTAATGTAGACATTCTCTCTAATTGGAAACTCAACTGCAGCAGCAGTTTTTTGGTGCATCCAATCGTTGGGCAGAACCTAATTGGTTTGTAAGTCTTGACATTTGCGCAGCAGTCTTTGTAGATCGTCTGCAACCTGCCTGCTTTTTGCACATACTAAAACAAAAAAGATATGTGCACTTTAGCGCCTTTTCTTTAGAGATCAGGCCCAAAGAGATGTGCTGAAACATATTTTTCTCCAATGATCTGAACTGAGGGCTTATTAGTTTCTTCATACATACAGTATTTTAGTATTTTGACTTCATCTCATCTTTTATATTAATTGATTATCCTTAACTAAAGATTGGATGCTTTATTTTATTGTTGCATCAGAAAGCTGACAGATACTAAACATAGATGAAAAAGGTAAAGTAGTGACCCTAGATGAAGCTCTTTGAGCTTTGGTGTCTAGATGTACCTGAACTGGAGGAGCTCTTGGGTTTACTCGCTGAATCCCCATACGGATAGCTGCTCCGAACAATTCCACGAGGTTTAAAGGAGGAACTGATCTCCAAGTCCAGCTGAGGGAGGCAGTCCTTGCTTCCCTTTGCACTTTCAGTCTCTGACACTAGACACAGGAAAATCAGATTCAGAACGGTTCCTGTGGAGCCAAATCTACAAAACTCTCCGGAGGAGATGAAGGCAGAGAAAGTGGAGAAGCCTACATGGCTGCAACATGATCTCGTATTAGTTTCATAAAAGGTCACATCAGATACACTACTGACAGGAGCTGCAGTCGCTCTCCTTCTTGTCATCTTTGTCCAGGGTGGGGTCCTGGGGAGCAGGCTCTCCTCTACGAACCTCGTCCTTGGACAGGGAGTTGTAACCCAAATCTGACTGATCTCCTGGAAAACCAAAAGGAAAAACTTTATAGATGGTAACATGAGAGCAAAAGCTTAAGCTTATGTCACTTTCCCCAAAGACAACTCGGCTCTTTTTCGAATGTTTCTCACAGAAATAGAAACTGTTCTGCTTTTTTTAAATCTAGACCAAAAACAAATGTACTATGTACTAAAAAGCAAATAAACAAATCTAAAAACATTAACCATAACATTTATTATAGTGGTCAATAAAAAGCACATAAAACTGTTTTTTCTCCTACTTCCCAGCTATGAGAATCATTAGAAGGACAAAAAAATCAGCTAAACTGAGGGGATAAAGACATCCACCAGATGCCCTGCAGATCTCTAGAGTTTCTGAGGGAAAATAAAGTTGTTTTTCACAGCTGCTGATGATTTTGACAGCAAAGACTTGAGGCTGACTCCTCTTCCCTTTTCCAACTTATCTGGGTTCCTAGGCAACGATCTGTCTTTAGGATTTCCCTGCTGTTATCCTTTTCATGAACCTCTCATGTCGGCTTATTTGAATTAACCATGGGACACCACAGCTTCTATATGATGCAGTTTGAAGCTACATGTCTAAAAGTAAAAAAAAAAAAAAACTTTTTTTGAGCAATAAAAATAAGAAATGAGCCACACATTTATCTTTGCCTCTGTAACCTCTTTCCATCTCTCACACAAAGTGCCAGGCTGCCTGCAGAGGCACTATCTCCATGATTAAAATGATGTCCATAATCAGATAGAATGTGCCTCTAGGCAATTACAGCATATAATTAACAATGACAAAACACTGAGAGGACCGAGAGTAAGAGTGAAGGGTAGGAGAGGAATGAGCAGCAGACAGATGTGTTGGATAGAGGACTGACAGCACAAGAGTGGAGATCATAAGATCCACTTGGAAAAGCCAAAAGAAAATTAAAGAAAAGAGACAAATGAAGAGAAAGAAAATGAGGTAGAGTGACTGAGATGTTTACCTGGGTGGAGAGTGGCTTCTCTGAGCTCAGAGCCCACCCAGTGTGAGCGGGCCACCACGGGCCTGGACCCCGCGCTGTCGCCCCCACGGCCAACTGCATGCAAGGGCAGCACAGGCAGGGCCAAAGTGAAGGGCAGGGTTAGGGACAGAGCAGAGCAGAAACCACAGCCGAATAACCAGAGAGTGAGAAGGAGGGGCCAATTAAAGGTGGAATGAGGAGTACCAGAGGAAATCAGGTGTGAAAGGAAGAGGGTAACGAGCGGAGTGGAGAACAAAATGAAGGAGGATAAAAAATGTCAATGAGAGAAAGGAAAAGATGTAAAACATGACGGCTGCCATTGGCAGCAGCCATCTGAAGTGTACCTGTGCTAGATCTATCATCAGTTGGGTCTATTTTGGTGGAGTCAGAGGTGAAGGGGCTCTGCTCGGCCAGGTTAGGGTCAGCAGAGCTATCCAGACTGCCGTGACTCACAGCGTCCAGGTCACTGCCATCTGCCCACAAACAACAAGCTGTTAAAGAACGATGATTCTCTGTGTTATAATGGCTTCACTGCTCTTTGTTCTGTAGAAGTGAACGTCTTCATGTTCTGGGATTTAACCTTTTTTATCAGACAGGTTTTAACTAAGACATTGGTAAATAAGCAGAGTTCCTTTATCTAGAGATCCTAGACAACATTCAGGATCTTTTAGACTCAGATTTACAGAATTGGATGGATGGATGGATGGATGGATGGATGGATGGATGGATGGATGGATGGATGGATGGATGGATGGATGGATGGATGGATGGATGGATGGATGGATGGATGGATGGATGGATGGATGGATGGATGGATGGATGGATGGATGGATGGATGGATGGATGGATGGATGGATGTTGATATGCCATTTTATAAGTTGCGAACAAAACTAGTTTGGTATTTTTTAAATTGCTAGTCATCAATAGTTAATAGCTGTGTTACGCCCAGATAGAGACAAACGTTCTGGTTGAATGAACATAATTTCTAAAATTAATAAAATCACATGTAATGAAGGGACTTTTGTTTTTTAACATCAAACCTGTGACATACCAAGTTTTAATTTTTTCCCTCTGTGTTAAAGGTGATTTAACATATTAAAGGTGAATGGATCAGCGACAGGCCCATGACCTACTGGATGTAATCCAGCCATTTGATACGAATGTGTTTGAGAGCTGCTGGATTACAGAGTGGGACGTTCTGTTGCTGACACCTCAGGAACTAACCCATTATCGCATTGCAGCTAAGTCTACTAGCTCCAGCCTTGTGCTCAGGGTACAGACATGTTGACACATCACTGATCAACACATTAGCGCCTTCATGGTGGCAGAAAGAGATGCAGTTCTACATGGCAGGAAGACGGTTCTCTTAAAGTCAGTGAGAAAGTTAAAATATTTAAAATATGTATGTGTGGATGGATGAAAAGATGGATGGATGGATGACGTCGGACGGATGGATGAGGAGATTATGGATGGATGGATGGATGGATGGATGGATGGATGGATGGATGGATGGATGGATGGATGGATGGATGGATGGATGGATGGATGGATGGATGGATGGATGGATGGATGGATGGATGGATGGATGTTTTATTCACTGCTGTGCTGCAGCAGTTTTTGCTCATGTATGGATGTGGTAGACCATGTTTATGTAGGCAGCGATCCTTGGGGAAAAAAAGGGGTGCGAGTAATAACCCAGAACAAACAGAAAACTGCAGTGCTTTTTGTGTATCTTTCACTAAAAATAGGGACACAGTGAACTATAAAGAGAAATCTTAGTGCCTTTAATGTCTACTAGGTGTAAAAAGGAGTTAAACTGGAACAACTGACTGTTTTAAAGTGGATCAGCACTGAACTCAGGTCAGGAACACAAAGCGCTGGCTGATAACAGGGAGGATCTTAAAAAAGCAGGGATTAGGAGCACAGGGATTATCATGCACTGGGTGTGGAGGAGTTCACCTTCATGCAGAGGAAGTAAAATCACACAGTGAAATAGAGATGAATTTAGAGTTTCATCCTTTTATAAATGACTTAATAAAGACTAGCTGGAGTTATCTTTTAAAAAATTTACATTTCAATTGTTTTTCGCTTATTTAATTTTGGCTGTTAATATTTATTTTATCAACTAAATAATATAAAAAATTACTATTTCGTCAGATTTTTAAAAAAATCAAATGAAATGGCTGCAAAATATTTAAATTGATTCAATAAATGAAAAAAATTATTTCAGGTTATTCGGTAACACTTGAAAGTAGTTTATTGGATGAAACTACTTTCAAGTGTTACCGAATAAACTGAAATAACACTTGAAAGTAGTTTATTAGATGAAACTAGTTAACACATGTAAAATAAAGAAAGAAAATAATCTTTGTTTTTCTTTGCATTTGTCTATTAACATCAAATAAAAATCATGGAAATTGGCCTAATCTTAATCATATCTTCATCTATACAGAATTCATAACAAGAAAAAAATGTCCTAGACTCTAACAGCAATTAAGAAGTTTGACATTCCCTTGAAATAAATAAAAAGGTTGCTTGATATTATTTAACCCGGGCACAGTTTTGTCTTATGATTTTATTGTTCTGAATACATAAAATGTTGAAGGATTTAAATGTTTTCTGTAGGTTAGGAATTTAACATTTATATGTCCATTTATACTTAAGAAGTTGGCCTGTGTGTACTATAAAAAAAAAAAACAGCCGTTAACTAAAATGGAACAACAATCAGAGCTATGCATATCACTTGCATATCACATGAAAATTTGGGAGAAAAAGTTGAGCTAAAAAAAAACATAAAGCAGTAGGTCATATTAAGCTTTTTTTTCTCCCAAATAAATCACATTTTTTCCGCTATACTGTGTGACTGGGGGTGTTGATTGTGTTTAGTCAGGAATCTCAGTCTAATTTTAACTAAAAACTCAGTGATGACAAACATTAGTTCAGGTGATAAACCAGTTTGGACCAAGATGGTCAAGACTAAAGAGAGTAAACTTGCATCAGTGCCCCATAATGTAAAAGGCTGATAATGAAATTAAAATGTATATTTCCAACTATTTGCATCCCCTTAACTACAACAATAAAAAAAGTGTATTCCTGTAGATATGATGATGGTGGCAGTTCCAAACAACATTTTCGCGTTCATTAATGACTGAATGCAGTTACCTGACAGAGGGCTTTGGGTTAGCGGTCCATGTCGCCGTAAAGCTCTTTTGAACTGGGCAACGCCCAAAAGGACATTTCTCAGCTTCATCCACAGGAAGTATCCTCCTCTGGTACTGGAAGGCCATGTGCTCTCCAACACCGCCTGGACACAAAACGAAGGAGGAAAAGAAAATATTTAAAATAATATATAAATGGAATACTAAATATGTGGACCAACTTAGACATGAGCATCCATATTATATAAATAATAAAAACAGATATCCATATTTGATATCCATATTATGAATATGTACTTTTTTACAATGTAAAGTTTTTCACTTATAAAAAACTTTTTTAAAGTAAAAAGTCTGCTACATTCATCTAGGTATTGTGTTCTTTGGATAATGAGAGATGAATTTATGTAAGGAAAATATTATAATCAGTTATCTACTAATAAAATAAATAAAGAACTTATTTTTTAAGAATTTTTTTAGCATGACAAGATTTGTGGGTATTTTTAATTGATAGTAAACGATAGTTAACAACACTATTACATAATATGCAAACACATTTTCAGAAGATATATATTTTTTAAATGTATAAATGAGGCTACATATTTAACCATAATAATAAAAAAAAGAAAATCTCCTTTCTAAAATCAAAAAACCTTTTTGTTTGCTTTCATAATATTTCCATTGGTTGTTTAAAACAGTAGAAATAATTAGGGATGCACAATAGTGGAATTTTGACTGATATCCAACATTTTATAACTCAACTGGTCTATAACCAATACAATATTTTTACTGGAGACCTTTTTAAAGTCACTGTGTTTTTTCTATGATTTTTTCCTTTCAAAACTAAAAGTTTTTCCTTACCATCCCTTGTCCATTAAAAATATGTGTAATAAAACTCACCCCAGTGCTATCACCAATGATCCTCCCAATGCAGCTTAAGTAAAGCTACAGTATGTTGTAAAAATTCTCAGATTAGAAAACAATACAGTGAGATTTGAAATAGTTAAAAAATTTATTGAATCCAATATCCTCAGTGATTGAAAAAAGCCGGCGACTTGTTTCTCCTTTTCCTTCCTGGTCGCCATGAATTCACTACTAAGTTTCAGTTAAAAGTCTTTGCTCTGGGTCCTTTTTACCTAACTGATGCTGCGCAGAATAGCAGTTCAGCTTTTCTTTACATGCACTTTAAAAACATCCTTCCCATTAAAATAAATTCACTTCAAGATTTATCCTATGTCCCATGACCCATGCATCAGGTACACGCAAGTGGCATTATAATGACCAGTGATTTATATTGGTTAACTGCCCAATATCTAATTTTAAAGCTGGATATTGATAACATGCCAATAATATTGTGCATTCAGAGAAATAATTTTTATATGCCATTTTAGAAGTTGTGAATGAAACTAGTTTGGTATTTTTTTAATTGCTAGTCATCAATAGTAAATAGCTGTGTTACGCCCAGATAGAGACAAACTTTCTGGTTGAATGAAAATGATTTTTAAAATGAATAAAACCACATGTAATGAAGGGACATTTTGTTTTTTAACATTAAACCTGCGACATATCAAGGCCCTGCTGGAGGTAATCCAGCCATTTGATACGAGTGTGTTTGAAAGCTGCTGGATTACAGAGTGGGACGTTCTGGAATACCTCAGGAACTTACTCATTATCGCATTGTAGCTAGTCTGCTAGTCTACTAACTCCAGCCTCATGCTCAGGGTACGGATATGTTGACACATCACTGATCAACACATTAGTGCCTTCATGGTGGCATAAAGAGATACAGTTCTACATGGCAAGAAGACGGTTCTCTTAAAGTCAATGAGAAAGTTAAAATATGATCTGATTCTTGCCAAGAAATAAAAGCATAAATAAGATGATTAATTTATATTTTGAGTCTCTGAAAAAAATCCATATAGTTTATTATAAAAAGCGATGACATATTTTTTGCTGGATAAAGCTGTCGGCTTTCCAAGGTGAGGGTTTCTAAAGCTAACCTGATTAAACGTCATTGCTGTGGCCTTGTCCCCTGACAGATCACTCCCTTAACACCAGGTATGCAGACATATATACTCCGTGGATCACCAGATCAGGGACAAAGGCATGATTTATTCCTATATGTATGACTGGTAGCACAACAGTGAACAACCTTGGCGATTAACTGCTCATTTTATTCATGTTTCCATCCACAACAGATAATCCTACAGAGACATCACTGGTGCCTTCTGAGTAACAACTCTGGTGCTGATTATGATTACTGATGAATAAATAATAAAAATAAAGTTTGTAATCAGTCCACTTCTTTCTCCTGCAAAGCTGTAGGACCAGAGTTTCAATTTGATCCATTGAAACAAACACTGAAAAGCTGATGAAAAAAATGATGCTTATCATTTCCATTTTATACAATGTGAAAATGTTTGATTTCAAATCAAATGTCTTTTTTTTATATTGTCACCACTAAGCATCAGTGATGCAAGACCTGATTTTCTGTATGGTTTCCAACATATTTAAGTTTCTAGACTCAAATTTCCAGACTCATTGGTCCCTCTTAAGGCATTTCCAAACATCTCAATGCAAAGGTTAGCTATGAATTTATTTTCAACCCCGTTTCCTTTCATTTCTGGACAGTGGGAAGGAGCCAAAGAACCAAAAGCGAACCTAAACATTGATGCAAAGAAATTGTGTTAAAAACTGGCTCAGTCGTGGTTTAAATATAGCACCTGGGAACACAAAAAACAGTCAAGTCGGATGATTGGTTTATAGTGAAGGATCCAAGATCTTCTTCCATATTTATCTTAACTATGAAAATACCTGAACTAGATTAGATTTAGGGATCCTGCTCTTGCTAAGGCTGATCATCTAATCGAAACCAATTCTATCATAAATTCTTTTAAAATTGGTCAAACTTGATGATGTAGAACAGAAGTTTAAAGTTGCTTTTATTTAGGGTTGCTACTCTGTACTCTGGGTTTGCAACGAGATACTTTTACTAACTGTGTTCTAAAACACTTAAATACAGTAAGTGTTAAGAAGCTATATCTGTTGTTTATTTCAATGCAATCAATGTTTAACTGTTTTTTTATTACTTAAATTAATTTTAAAACAGCCCAGTAATTGATTAAATATCTGCAATTACTAATAGACACACACATTATATATATATATATATATATAATCATAAAATTTCACACATTCTGGGTCTAGCATTGAAAAATATTAAGAAAAAAATTGAGCTGAGTGTAATTTTGCCAACTGGCTGTCTGCTGCCCTGTGGGTGCAGTGTAAACATTGTCATTGATAATTTACACACAAATATTCAACTAGATTTTAAGTAATTTTTACATCATATGCAAACGGTAGTCATAGAACTGCTGTAATCTCCAGATACCTTGTTGTAGTAGCCATAGGTGATAGCGTTGGGGTGAACACCAGCTTTCTTCATCTCAAAAAGGACTCTGACAGCCAGGACAGGCTGGCCATACTGTCCACAGAGCTGCATCAGGACCCGGTAGCACACCTGTGTTAAAGGTGTGGGATTGTTTAGGCAGGAAGTTGGAAGCTTGGGATGCTGGCTAATACAATGAGGCAAAAAAACTGAAAACGACTCATGTACCTCATCGGGAGGTTGCAGCTTTTTTGCCTGCATCTTCCTGAGGACGTCGTAGGCGGTACGAAGCGCCCGCACCTTGGAGTGACACACCTTCACGTATGCTGGCAGACAGATGAACCACAGACCATAACAGTGACGGAGCAGGCATTTGGACCACAGCTGAGGGATGGATGAGTATTTCTTGGCGATCTTCTGAGCTGATTTTATCTCCTGGGGATGAAAAAAGTGGATTTCCATAATAAGAAAATTTTACACAATTTTTATTTAATAAAGTTTAATTTATTTATTATACATATGTAATGATGTGTATAATATAGCTTCATCTGATGCAGCTGGAAAATCTAAAGGTAATAATCCCCCTTTATTTGTCATTGCACCCGGCTGCATTTAACTCATCCCTAAGGGAGCAGTGAGCAACTAGCCTCTCCCTTGGGAATCACTGTGGTGTTAAGGGACTTGCTCGGAAACCAGGAATGATAGTCTAAGGTTTGATTTTGCTTCTCCGGGTCAGAAAAGAACTCTTCTATAACCACTAGGCAACCAGTTGCCCCAGCATGTAATCAAGCTCATTATTAGAGTGGTCAGCATAAGGAAACATGAGGAGTTTAAATCCTCCAGGGAGACAACTGTGTTGACAGTGGATGTCAGAGAGCCTATGGGACAAACACCAGTGAATAACATGACACCCAAATCACCACTCTGGATTTAAAGCAATATGGATTCTGTGTCTCTCCATTCATCCACCAGACTGTAAGGCCTTGATTTCCAAATCGAATACAACTCATCTTTCACCTGAAAAGGCGCTTTGCACCAATGTCTGCAGTGGATCTTCATGGACAAACTCTAGCCCCCGTTCACTTCTTTTGAAGCTCCTCAAGATTCTCGACTAGACAATCTTCTCAGGGCTGCGGTTATGAATGTTTGTGGATTGCACAGGTTTTCCTTTCACACAACTTTTTTTTATTTGATATAACTTTTTACTAAATTATTCTTTTCTGAAAGATTGTTTTTTTAGTTCTTCATTATCTGTAAACCATAATAAAAAAATGACCAAAATAAAATGTGAAATTTTTTTTCCCAGTATGTGTATTAAATCCATACTATATCTATCAATAGTTTCACTTTATGAAATGAGGGACAAAAAATATTGAAACTTTTCAGGATACATGCTTTTGTGGCAGCTTGAAACATTGCAAAGTCAACTATAAGCATATATAGGATAAAAAATTTTGTCATATAATAGTTTTTTCTATTGCTTATACCTATAGCTGCAGCTGCATGCCAACTTTTGGAAGTCTTATCAAACAAAATACAGCATAGAAGACAAATAATCACAGTAAATTATTCTCCCGAGCATTTACTGTATTTAAACCAATCCAGAGAATCTAGGTTACATCTGCTCCCACCTGTTTGGTGCGTCTGAACATGGGGGCAGGACTGGTGGGACAGCTGTGTCTGGCGGCAAGGCGGGAGGAGGGTGTCCGCAGACCCTCCACAGGATCAAACAGTTCCAGAGTTAACACTGGGAAACCATCATACCTGTGGAAGAACAGCAACACAACCACACATTACCCTGTTCTATTTCACACAGCTGACTAATGTACCATGCTGTCTTGGTTAGGACAAAACACTAGGTGAAAATAGAGAAAAGTCTGGGCGTGCTTCGATGGCGCAGTGGTTAGCGCACAAGACCCATGTATGGAGGCCTTAGTCCTTGATGCGGCCGACCTGGGTTTGAATCCTTTGCTACATGTCTCTCCCCCTCTCTCATGACCCCTTTACTGTCAGCCTACCGTCCAGAAAACAGCCACTAGTGCTGTAAATACTCAAAATAGAGAAAAGTCTAAAATAATACCTCAAAAGACCTTCACTGAGACCTGGGAACAATTGTTAAGATCAAATTCTAGGAGGATATCAGACTCCTTTTTTATTTATATAAATAGTTGTAGGATCTGGGAAATGGAACACAGAGAACACACATATTATGTGTTCTTCCATTGTTTGAAAACAGCTCCAGTTTGTACCTGTAACACAGTGGATATTCCTCCCCATCAGGCAGAGACGGCAGCTCTGGAGGTGTGATGAAAACTGTATGCTCGCTGCGCTGGGATTCATCAATCTCTATCAGCCTGGTCTCATCTGGGCGATCACCGTCCACCTGCAGACAGCAGCATACAAATGTGAAGAGACATTCCTGAGTGGCGACCCTTTCATCTCCTCAACTAATGGAAATAAGGAATGCTGTACTGAGTAAGAGAGAAGCATTCACTTATATCAGGACAGAATGGAAAAGCATTTGAATGACTCAAGGTTAGTGGAATATAACTTTTACACTCTTGTTTCTAAAAAAAAAAAAACTCTTGAAGGTAATTTAACACTATGCAGAAGATGGGACAAATTCAGGGTGTGACAGCAAATGACCTAGTTTTTCTTTTGTCTGTTTTATTCCCTCTGCCACTGCAGCCTTCTCTGCACACTGTTCTACACTGCATGGTGGGATAAAGTAAGGCTACGATAAACACATTCACATCCATGAAAGAATTATTTTTACTAATGATTAAACAAAAAAAATGGAAAAAGAGCTAGAGAAAGACAAGCAGCCTCTAATGAATACAGATAAAGCTCCATAACAGAAAACAGGCAGTACAGCCAGTGCAGTATCCTAAATGCAGATCAGATCATACTGAAAGCTTTCTGCTGTAAATACAAAACATCCTGTTCCAGTAAATTTAAGTCATTATTGATGAGCAGAGAGAAATCCCTGGATTCTGCCAAGAGCCGAGTGACATCATGGGAACCAGTTGTGTGACCATCCATGTAAACATTCGGCACAGCTGATTGAAAGGCAGAGACACAACACCATGAAGAGCATAGTCTGTCTGCTTTTCATTAATTGAAAAATGAAACATCTACTGTGGTCAAACATTGGTGGGACATTTGCCATTTTTATAGGTCAGCTGCCTTGCTTGAGTACATTCAACAGACCCAGAGCACATTTGCAAACACAATGCATGTGACTCCCCTGAAAGGCCTCAGTAGCAGCATATACTCTACAGCTGAAGAGAGAAGCTGAAAGGTGATTTTAACCTGTTTTATCTGAGATCTAATATTTTCTCCTCACAATCTATCTTTTAAAGCCATGGTTGGAACCTGAAAAGGAAAAATAAATAAGGAGTTGTAGCTTCGCCCTTATTTTTTGGGTGTCTGTACAAATCAGAGGAATTAAAATACCTCAAGATCTACTTCAAAAGCTAAAGCAGGATGGTCATAAATATTTTTTTCAATCTATATAAATCCAGTTGTTAGAGCTGTTTGCTCATTCGTGCTTTAGGATCTTAAGGAGATATAGTGTTTATTTCCAATAAATCAGAGCTTGTATTGGACCCTATACTTGTAGTTAAACATCCATCAGTAGATCAGTAGAAAGATAGGCCTTCTCTGCCTTTGTGTTGCTGCTGTATTTTGTTGGGTGGGCATGATGTAAACTACAGCAGATGAGACTTTTAAGAGTTTGGCATTTGAGCTTCTACAAAGTAATTTTTTTTTTGTCTTTACCACTTAAAGAACAGGAACCCATTCTTGCAGAGCATGTAATAGGCTTTAAAAAGCATAACCTGTAGCCCCCCAACCCTAAGACACATTGAAAAGTCTGAAAAACAAACGAAAATAAAGGTCTCATTAAAAAAGTTTAAAAGGAGACTATAAATGGATGACAGAGGATAATGGGCTACTGTATCAACCAGTCTTCATGGCTCCATCAGTTACTCTCCATTTCAACTTAGGCAGGTCTTCATTTCTCCATAGTCTACTTCAATCCATCTTCTTTCTAGATAATGCTCTGCTGTAGACAGGTAGTTGGTTGCTTAGATTCTGTTAAGGGGCACAATCAGTAAAAAAAGGGCTTGACACAAATATCTGGTGGCAGTGAATAGTTTTTAACTTTAAGGATGAATATTTACAGTCCTGTAAATAATCTCACATAAGTGTGGCCTCAGGCAGATGATATGTTTGCTATGGGCCTTTTCACAAGCTTACAATTACCTCGGCAGGAATCTGAAATTACTATGAATTGGAGTTTCTAATGCCACGTCTACAAAATTGACTCTTTACCCAAAAGATAAAGAAGTTACAACCACTGGCTGGTGAAAAAACAAAACAAAAAAACAATGAGAATGTTTTATTCTCCTCAGAGCTCTTTAGATTTAATGCAGACTTACACTGACCGGGGCTGACATACAGTATAACTCACAGATTGTCTTAACGCAGGACATCTGAGATTTATGATGGATTACAAAAGAGTTACCAGACCCAGTAGCAAGCACAGTAAATAAATAAGAAAAAGCTTAATGACAGGGTTTAGCTGTACAGGCGTTAAGTCATCCATGCCAGACAGAAAAGATGGGGGGAACGGTTACTTCAAGTTCATAATTTAGCCTAGTTATCCTGAAGGTAATTAAAGACAATCTTAGTAAAGGTCAAAGAGTTGAAGACTGTGTTCAATGAATTTTCAGTGAAGAAAGCGTTCTTGTTCTGCTCCTGCTGTAGGTTATTTTAGGTCATCTTTAAACAAAGTTTTAAGCTTTACTACGCAGAAGGTGCTCATAGCAAACATTTCCTATCACAAAAAAAAAAAGAAAAAATAAACTTTGAAACACTGTTTGAAACATTGTTTGAAACAAACGCTAAGTAACTTTACAACCTTCATAAAATATTTTCATAACTTTTCTGATATACGTAGACTTACAACTAGTTGAATGACATCTCTGTTGTGGCCTGAGGTGGTCTGTGCTGCTTTCACCAGCCATAAGCAACTTTGAGGAGGGTGGCAGTAACCCTGCCACACAAAACAACTACAATTGCGCATACTGCTTTACTGTATACATCACTTCCTCCCTTCCCCATTCATTACAAAGACAGAAGATGTGACTAAATTTCCCTGAGAGACTGTATATTCGTCCAAATTGAGCAGAGTTGATATTAAGGCAATGCAACACCTTCCTGCTTGGATTTTTATGTGTTTAGTGGATTAAATTATCTAACGTAACATTTTATTGATTGGTTTCAAGGCTCTAAACTCTTCAGCACATCAGTTGCTGACAAGTCAGGTGATGTGGGGGGGAGTGGTGTTTACCATTCCTCTGTGGAGCATTTCAAAATATTTTCTAAAGTCCTGAAATGAACATTGGAGAATAAAGTTTATTATGTGTCCATTTAACAATTTCAAAGTTAAGCATTTTGAATTATTGAGTGATAAAAAAAAAAAAAAAAACATGATGACCCATTTTTAGTCTATAAGTAGGGACCTCCTGATGTCATTAAAAAGGAGTTGGTACCCAATATGTCCATTATGCCTTGCACTTTATGGTACATTCACACCAGAAAAGTCCTTTGGTCACTTAGTTTTGTCCAGATCAAAAGTTGATTTTTTCTTTGTCCATTTCGTATTGATATTGTAATTTTGCAAGTGAACTATAATTTACAACAAAGCCCTGTTTGACGATCATTGCTTCCGTAGGTCAGAAATGACTACAGCAGGACAGAGCGTAAACCAGAAATGGAAGAAAACTACCATGGGGTCCTGCATGCAGCACCTCTGCTTTGGATATGTATGATTTTATTTCAGCTGCAATTACACTGAGCGTCAAAAGCAGATCATTCAATGTAGATTTTTAGACTTTTATATTTCTAATCTTGTGACGGTGTTTGAGAATTCATCTTTTGAGCTGAGGGAGATCCATCACTGGTTGGCAGCAGCGCTGCTAAGCAACAGAGTGTGCAGCAGGAATTAATTCGATAATAAGTTTATGTAGCATTTGAGACGGAGACCTGAAACCGCAAACCACACTAGGGCTCGTTAAGTCGTGAGTGGAAGCTAACCGTGTCCACCTCTAACTTCACACCTGCACAGAAGGTCTCAACCAACAAACTCTGGTCCTTTTAAAACGGACCAAACGTGGCAGGTATGAATACACCCTAAAAAGGTTCCCAGGGTCACTGGAAGACGAATGAGGATAAAGCATCACAGAACCTACACTGGATTGGTTTTTTCCAAAAAAGTCTATTTTCGTTTCAAACTTCCAAACAGCTACATTTCAAGTCTCATTTGACTAAAAATTAAATATAATTCTTAAAGTCTCAATAGAGCTCAGTGAGCTCCAAACAGTTATGTTTATGAAGGAAGACAGGAAACACTTTCTGTTCAACTGACCCCAAACACACCACTGCATGCGGATTGTACCTAAGGAGTGATATGAAAGCCTCCCTGCTGTAGGCCCCAAACATTAAGCTTTTAAGATTTGGTTTGTTCTCCATTAATCTTCAAGCATGTGTGAGCATGCCCTTTAATTAATGATATTATCTCTTGTGTAGAATCTTATTTGAAGAATGCATTGAATGGTGCCATCATTGAACTATCGTACAACTCTGTCTGCTCTTACTTTTGAGTAAATCTTAATAATTAATTCATATTAATACATTCAAAAAGCTCTAATGATATTATTTGCAAAATCAAGTTTCTTTCCTTTAGGGACCAATTAACTTTAATCAGACTTTTAATACTTTAATGATCTGCATGTGCGTAGAGATCCACTGAGGTTTCTGAGATAAAAAGAAAAAAAAAACAGATCTATCAAAGAAAAACTAAGGATCTAACCGTCCATACAAGTCACCGACATTAGGAGCAGGAGGAGATTAGGACAACCCAAACCAATCCAACTGAAGTTAGAGCTTAATCCAACAACTTTACAGTCACTCTGACTGAAACAGGTACAAGCCCACCGGGCTAATAATATAGCTCAAGAAAATATTACAAGACATGGCAAGGATCATTCTGGCTGATCATTCAACTTGCAAGGCCACTCACTTTGTAGCGAAGCTATTAGTCTGTAAAAAAAAAAATTACCCAAAAACCTTTCTCTTCTGGTAAAATTAAAATAATTACGAAAACATTCACATTCTAAACTCATGCAACATTAGATTTAGCAGAAAACTGTGCATAGCAATGACCTAAAACTGTAACATATGCAAGAGAAAGTGCTGTGGCAGAAAATATTATACATGCGGCATACATCTAAAAGAATGTTTAAAATTTAGCACAAGGGTGCTGATGCAGCCTGAATGCAACTATGCAAAGGGTGTAAATATAGGAAAACCAAATCTGCAGACATGGAAGGCCTACTAAAAGGCTCTCAACATGTTTAGTTATTTGCACAGATCATGCACGTCTGGGAACAAGCAGAGCTGGTGATGATAGCAGAAGCCTTACCTTCCCTCCTTTCTCTGCACGTTCTGAGTTGTAAAGCTGCTTGCAAGACAAATCAAGGGGAGACACAGAAGAAAACTTAGCAACTGGAAAGCAGAGACGGTTCTGGGAGGTTTGCTGAAGTCCTCAAAAACCAAACGTTATAACAGGAGGAGAGAAAATTCTTTGCCAAATCAAAATCTATCAGAATGTGGAATCTAAGACTCACTTTGTCCACACAGTCATCAAAGAATGCCAGGCTGGTGTCCTTGTCGCTGACGAAAGAACATTCCTCAATGAAGCGGATGAACATCTGGGTCTTAGTCATGAGGGAGTAGAACTTCTGGTGTGAGCGGTCGCGGCTCTTCAGGAAACCTACAGAGAGAAAATATGACACTTTAACATCTGCACTGATTTCACTCTGTTTAATTTTCCAATTTGCTTCAGGAAATGTGTAGCTGATTCCATCTGAAGAGAGAGAAGATGAGCTCCAACAGGAACAATTAACTGACTTCCTCCAAAGGTGTGTGATTTTGTGGTTAAGACTCCATTGTCTTATAAAAGGCTGTAACATTTTCTATAACCTCCATTTGTCTTTGGAAAAAGCATGCCACAGTGTTATTAGTGTAATGGCCAATTTGAAAGTGCGCAAACATCGTGAACAGCCATCATAATTGGTGCTGAAAGCAGCCTAACTGAGTAATAAACCTGTGCTCTTATCAGACAGGGCAGGAAGGATGGCTGCTGGCACGCAGCTCAGAGGTGGACAGCTAAAGCTTCCTGCAGCTGAAAAATATTTCAATCTTGACAGAGGCTAGTTGTAAGCAGGACCATCAGTCACTTCGAAGCACAAAGCCTCTCTCAGATTCTTTTTCCCAGTATGAAAACATCACTTTCTTAGTGTCCTGGGGAGAATATTAAGTTATGAGTTTTCTACAGAGTTGTGTCCATCTGTTTTTTTCTTTCCTGTCTGAACTACAGTTATTAATGAATGGTCTTTACTTTAAGATACATACATACAAACTGTATCGCTCTAAAGAATATACAAAGTCACGTAAAAGAGATAATTATACAATCAGTATCTGATAAGGGAATAAGATGAAGTTCTGTTTTTTTATGTATAATGTAGAATAACAAATTGGCATTACTAATGTGAATATAGAAAAAGAAATATATAAGAAGGGGCTCATGCAAGAAGAAGAAGGTTCTGGGTTCGATTTCCGGCCCGGGATCTTTCTGCATGGAGTTTGCATATTCTCCCTGAGCGTGCGTTGGTTCTCGCCAGGTACTCCGACTTCCTCCCACAGTCCAAAAACATGACTGTTAGGTTAATTGACTTGTCTAAATACTCCTTTTACTTCAACAACAATTTAGCAATAAAGGTGTAGTGGTGGATATTCATGAATTTTTCTAAAAGACCCGTCCTCTCCACTTAAAAAAAAATGCAGATGCGCAACCCTGAAACTGGTCCTGAAAGGGAACTCCTATGAAACGCATTTGGGAGCATGCACAAGCCCATTTCTCCTCATGCACACCCTGTTTAAATGTTGCTGTTCTCATATCTTATACCAGCTTACAGTGCCCGAACGTCCGCTCTAAATCCTAAATCCCTTTATCACTATATAAAGCAGGCAAGAATGAATTGTACGTACAGGCAACATTTTTATAGTATTTTTATTTGACATACATTTGCTGCTTTTTCCACACTTCATTAGTCTTTGTTCCCTATTATTACAACTGTATGGTTAAAAGCTATGGCTATGCTATAGCCAGATCTATAGTTATATTATGTTGGGTGTTTTGGGAGTTTGTTCATTTCTAACTATGCATTTGTAAATTTGTAGAGCTGACCTTTCACAGTTATTCTAAACACCTATTGGTCCCTATGCTTTCAGCACCAGACTTTGAAATTCAGATCTAAAAGATTAAACCGTCAATGAAATCAGTTTTTTGATCAAGAAATAAAAAGTTCAGTGGCAACTTAAATGTCACCTTAAGCAATTCTGGTGTGAATAAACAGCAGCTATAGCATTATCAGCAATGACATTTGTCACCTCTGTGAGAGAGGCATCAGATGGTGTTATTACAGTCAACATTTTTATTTTCTGTTTATTTATATAAGAACATAAGGTGATTCACCAATGATGGACATACTGTTCAGTCTCTGCTCAGATAATTGGGTAATTTAGTGACACTGTGGTTCTGAATGGCTGAGACCATCAGTCAAACTGGGCATGATCTTGGCTGAGTTAATCCCCAATTGATGCTGCTGTGATTCTTCAGTCTGTTTCAGTTGCAGTCAGATCCAGCTCCCATGGTGTTTATTTTCAGAGGCTTGAAAAAGATCTTTGAGCCTTTAAGCAGCTGCAGTGTCAATACTGCTGTATCTACCTTGCAAAAGTTCTTTATTTAATCAGCAAATGTAAGCATTTACATATTTAATTTGTTTCCTTTTTCTAATTCTGATTAACTTTTTCAACAGCGTCTAGCTGCAGAACTTCAACAAAATATGTGATCTCAAACATGTAGCATCACTGACCTAATTCCCCTCAAGAATATCACATCTCCTTGGTTATTTTTCTAAGTCATCCTGCATTTCCACTTCACTAAGATAAGATCTAACTGGATGTCATCTTTCTCCCAAATTTTTCAGTCTTCTTTCTTAAAAATAATCGGCATTGTTTAATGTAATTACATGATTTTCATGTAGTCGATGTCTTGTTTTTCAAGCAAATTCCAAACTTCTCCAATTTGCTATAGTGCAGAGGGATCTTGTAAAGTCTCAGAAATGATTAAATTTCACTTTTTGTAGAAAATCTTTATTAATGCACCTTAACCGTATGTCTTTCTACAAAATTATGTTATGGTTAATATATTAGAGATATTCTATTTCAGCACCTTTACTAGGCTGAAGTGGGTGATTGTTTAAAGTCACACATTTTAAGTTCAAAGAAAAGAATCAACTCTCAGTTTCAACATGCGATATCTTTTTTTTGCATTTTTATAAAAGATCTGCCAGCTTTGGAGAGTCTTCAGAGAAAGAGGAATAGATCAGTCTGTAGTGGACTTGTTATGGTTCCTGTGTGAAGGCTTTGAAGAGGCTGCTGGGAAAAGGGAGGACCGGGATAATTTATTCACCCCACTTCCTCTGTGAATTGGATCTCCGGCTTCACATGCAGAGCTGGTTTGAAACCGTTTTGATCGTAAGATACCTTGTAAGTCGAACAGCGAGCTGGCGTCCGTGGCTTTCTCCGAGGGTGCCTGTGTGATTGGTCGTAGAAAGGAGCGGTAGCCCTTTAAAATAGCTGCCATGAATCGCAGGAAGGCTTCCTGGATCTCCAGCTCCAACATGTGGAGAGTCTTCCCACCGCTCAGCTCTTGTGAATCAGTCATGCTCAGCTCCAGCAGCCCATCAGAACGGTAATGACCTGGTAACAGAGATACACATTAGCACTACAAGATTGTTTTCAAAGCAAAAGAGCCTAAAATAAGGTTTGATTATTTGTTTTAGTCAAAAATTTTGAGGCTCCCATTCAGGAAAAGTATGTCTTCGACCAACCCTGAGCTCAAAATCACAAAGGTTATTATACAGAAAGTGCTGAAAAAGATTAAACAAATTCAGCTAAAACTAATTTTGATTACAGGGAATAATGGCCTGAATACTAAAAATGTGGATCCAGCTTTTTTGCTTACTTTGTGTTGTCAGACAGAATCTGGAACTAGTCAACCCAGGATGTAATTAATCAAGGTTGGTTATTAATTTAAAAAGGGGAAGGGATCATTTTTCCCAAAGGGTTTGGTTGGCTGGTATAAGTCTTTGTTTACCTTGAAACCAGAAATAATTATGTAAACATGTTCTTTGGAACAACTCAGGTCACCTTTGTCTCATGTTAGAACTACATTTTTGATAATTTGACACATTAAAACATAAAGGCATTAAAAACAAATAACATAAATCTGTAAGGGGCCAATGCCTTGTCAGAGAACTGTAAAACGAACCTGAACCTATTGAACCTGTGCCACACATGATACTAATCTCTATTCTACAATATCGTTTATCATTCAGAGGCATAAAACGAGGAGATAAAAGCTGTTCACAGCTTACTTAACACACCAACAGCCAATTCTTCTTGTTTTATAACTTGAAACTGGATCCTGCTCCCCTTAAATATGACTTCCTATAATATATTTTTGAAGAAAATAAAAACCAGTTTTAGGCATGAACTTTTGTTTGTAAATGGGTTTATTTTATGCAAATTGTTTAGGTCATTATCAAGTGGAGACACATCTGAGTAACTTCTACTGACCTATAGTTGCTGAAATGAAGAACCTTTAATTTTTTTGGTGTTTAAAATAGGCCTAAAAAAACTTTTCAAACTTAACTTGCATTGATTTTCCCATAGTGAATCAAGGAAATTCAAAGTTTTAACCAACTGTTGCCTTTATGTTTTATACTGTAAAATTTTAAACTTTAAAATAGTTAAATAATCAGACAAAACCCAAAATTGAAATCACTGGTTTCTAAGAAAAATCTAATGGCAAGAAATGTATTCAAAAATGGAACAACCAAGAAGTGAATGAAGTGTCTGAGTAGGTATTACTAAAGTAACCTGGATTAGCATCACATATTTAAAAATATTAAGCTCAGGCTTATGCCTACTTTTACCAAAAGGACATAAAACTTTGGAAAGTAGATCCACTTCCAGACTCCTGGTAGTAACAGAGGAGATTTTCAACTTCAGTGAATCAGAAAATGAATTTATTCAATTACTATGCCTGAATAAGCAGCTTCCTTTGATAGGCCCACAGCCACTGAGCCTCTTAAATAGCAGAGAAATCTGTCAAGAACAGAGTGAGCACCACAGTAGGGTAGACACTGATTAGGATATCACCCCATGATGGATTATTTTTTCTTTCATTTGCTGGATGGAGAGCACAGGGAATAAGTGAAGAATAAAAGCTAAGATTGTAATAGAATAAAATAAAATAAGGACAATTAATAAACCATGTATATTTCTAATAGCTTTGATGACTCAGAGAGCTGTAAAGCTGTAAGCTTAAACCCAGATTGTGTTCCTATTTATATATAATGAACTTTGTTGGTCACTGACAATAAAATTGTCATCAGAATAGATCCCATCCTTCAGGGAGAAGTGGGAGCAATGTAGGGCTGAGGGTCTAGTTCAGGCACCCAGAGAGGCAGACGGCGGGGCTTGAACTCGATGCCTGCAGCTTTCTCAGAGAGCACTATGTCACAACTCCCCTTGACACCTTCCATTCACGCAAAGAAAAATGAAATGTTCAAACCACGGAAAACATCTGGAGAGAAAAACACTAAGTACTCACCATCGACCAGCTGCTGGTGAAGATTACTCAGCACATTCATTAGGTTTTTACAGGCTTTCTTTGGCAGGATCTTCCATGTGAGAGCTCGCTTATCGTCATTGCTGAAAGAGCAAGAGGGACACACTAAGCTCTTTGGCCAAGACTAACCTAAACATCAAAGTTCAGACCACCCTAAAGCTCTTTGGTAGGTAAGACGCCCATGGTTTACATGAAAAGCTGCTGACCAAAGTTTACATTTTGGGAAAAAATAATTCTGGTGATTTTTCTTTTTTAACAATCCATCACCATCCACCTACTCTCTAAAAATAAAAATTCATGACTTGGCTACTTTGTGGACTGAAGAAAATAGGAAAACCCAGCAACAAAGATCAGGCTTAATGTGATGTGAGAGTCACTGGTGTAAACTCTAGTAAATGACATGAAAGAGGTACAGCAAAAACGGTCAGTTCAAAGAGTTCAGCTTAAGTTTAAGGAGCGTTTACTTATGGAAGATGGTGTTTGTGTCCAGGTCCACACAGTTCACGTCAGGCGGAGGGTCATAAAGGTCAAAGTAGCGAGAATCCACTCCAACAATAAATGGACACGGGGCGCTCAACACGTCAGCCAACGCCAGGGGGCACAGCGGGATGTAAGGACAAGGCCAGTGGAAGGGAAAGATCATCTGAGGTTGAGAACACAAACAGAAACTCCAGGCATGCTGCTTCTAGATTACTTTGTTTTAACAACAAAATAAAAGGATTACCACCCTTTAAACCAAACATCTGTGTTTTTCACTGGACATTAACAGTGTGAAAAAGCCATGTTGTGTGATATGAATAAAGAAGAATGTAGAAAAACTCTCCAATGATATGTCACTGAAATATGCCAACATTTAAACCAGCTTATAGCTAAACCAGCTTATATTTTCATTTTTTTCATAGATTCTTCTGGCAATCTGTCTTACCTGTTATCAACTATAGAGAAACAAATAATCTTTAAAAACAATAAGTTTCTTCAAAACAAATGTTTTGGTAGAACAGAATGTAATGATAACACAGTTCATCACCAGTAAACCATTGCAGTATTTTCCTTTTCGTTAGACCGAACATATTTTCATCTAGGCCAATGAAATCATGGACATCTCTGATAAGAAATAGTCATGAATAAAAACCTAATTACTCTTGTTAACGGCTTCACCAGAAAAAAAAAAAAACTGAATGTATTATTATTGCCTTGTCAGAGCCCAGAACTACTGCAAACCACTGAAGTAGGCTGTGGAAAAGACACTGATAAGTGTTGGGGTAACCCTTGCATGTTAAGTGAGAAAATATCACAAAGACAATATTTTGGAAAAAGATAAAACTCCCAACAGACAAATCTGAATTCTGAAACTGAACCAAAGCTAATTTAACAAAATTACTAAGTACAGCATCTGTACTGTTTTGCAGTAGTTTCAGCGTTTGCAAGTTTATACAATTATTCCTGCACAAGTTTTTGTGACTTTTACAGGATACATGAAACATTAAAGGTGGAAAAGATTTGAAATAATTAGCATAGTCTAACCTTAGTTTTTTTTATATCAAGTAGACTTTCTATACATGAGTGAAGCTCCTAAATGGCCCATCAGAAAGGCACCCCTACCCTTTCTGAAAAACAACACATCTTCATGTCAAGAAGCTGCAATTTGGAGCACTCTTCTGTAAAAGTTAACATTTTGATATAATTTTTGTTTAAGCTACTCCAAAACCTTCTGCCTGAATTTTCTGTTTATTTACTTGGTCTCCATAATGCTGTTTGTAGGCTAATGTTCTAAAAAGAAAAAAACTCCAGACCTTAACAGAAAAGCTGGAAATCGATATAATAGTCAAGCGGACTCCTTTCACTAATCAGGTGACTGTGTTAATGAAAATTATTGGACTGGATTCATTAAATGGTACCAGAGTAATGCAAAAACACAGCACATCTGACAGATTTTAATGTACAGAAATTATTTTTGCTTTAAAGGAAGCCTTAAAGCAGACCATAAAAAAAAAAAAAATCAACAGATATTACAAGCGTCTCCCAATCTAAATGAAGTTACTCTACAATTTGAACATTTTCAAGTCCTCTGGTGAAAATGAAACAAAGACACAGTAACTTACAGACACCAAAGCCTCTGTGACACTGGTCAGCACTGCGGGCCGTAAAGAATGGACCAGGATTTTATGTTCAGTCACAGCGAAAACAAGTAAGGTGATGGCGTTCTCTGGACCGAGGTTATGAAGCAGTGTGGAAAATCTTCCTCCACTGAAGAAAACAGAAACATAAAAAAAAAACATCTTTAACTTCAGAAATCTGTAATGGGGAGATGTGAAAATGCTCTATGCTCTCTACATCCTGAAAATATTTCCTCCTAAACTGATTTACTTTTAATACATCATTGGTGAAATGTTAAGATATTGTTGCAAGTTGCAAGAAAATGTAAAGACTTTCACTGAAAATAATAATGCAACCATTTTTGGCATTTACGTAATCATATTTAGTTACTTTATCACAGTTGTTTCATGTTAGCAGGGTAGGACATAAAACAGTTGTGTTAACGTGACTAAATATGATACATGCCAAAAGCAGTTGCATTCAAAAGAAGCTTTTCACACAAAAAAAAAGAAAAGAAATTGAAAAAGAAAATTTCTTAAGTATAAAGTAGGTTGAGGAAGCAGACGTGACTGATCTTAGTGAGACTGTTCAAACAATCCTGAACTATTTCAAATACTGTACCAACCTACAATAACAATCCTAAATTTAGAATAAAATTAGACAAATCAATAGTGCACTTTTGCCAGAATGGCCCTTAATGGTCAATATGTTGGAGCTAATGTCTGAGAGGAAGATTTAGGTTTGCATTAAGAGCAGCTACTCTCACCTGAGCGGTAATGGAGAACTCACTGGCTGGCTCAACATCAGGCTGTCATGAGGAGAAAGCTGGAAGAAAGCTGAAAAGTGAGAAAAAAAAACCAACCGAGCAAGAAAGAAAAACAAAAAACACCTGCAATAAATCATTTAAGCACTCATTTATAATGGAGGACCCAACTACAACACCCTGCAGGCAAATCAAGCAACCTTCTTTCACTCTTTCCCTCTGTGCAGTGGTGATTATCCAAGATTAACATGCAAAGAATACAGTCCTGCAATTAAAGAGCATACCTGCACCAAGATGCGGGGCCTTTGGGAAGAAGGGAAGGGAACTTTGTGCATAAAGTGAGAGATGTGCCTGAGAAGAAGAAGAAGAACGGGGGAAGTGAGGCCAGAAATAACAGCAGTGGGTGGCAGAATACTGTGTTTTATGTGCAGCAGTGAAACATTGAGAGGCTGTTTCATATTTTACCAGAGGAACAGAAATTCAAAGAAACACTTTAATACTACAACAAATTCCAGATAGCATCATCCGCGTTTGTCTGATTTAAAAGTCAATAACTTTTTAATAGTACATTTTCTTTTCTATAGTTATCAGACCAATTTCTATTGGAGTATTACACATTTCCTTGGAGTAAACTTGTTTTAACTTTAGCTGACCCTTTTTTTTTCTTTCTAGAAATAAATCCCGACTCAATCCTTCTTGTTTATTTCTGTTCTGTCTGTGGCTTTACTTTTGCTTTGTTCTTCTTTCATGCGTAAAGTACTGCCCCTGCTGTGTCTCTTTACAGGATGGAGCTGCTGAAAAAACTACGGTTACCACTGCATGGATATATATGGACTACAATAGGTTGCATGTAATGAGATATGAAATGGACCAGCTTAGAGCTGGGCGATATGGCGATATATATCGTGAGGACGAGAGAAACATGTCTATCGTGACCTTTCTCCTCTATTTTTTCTATCGTGATAAACTTCTTTATTATTATTATTACTGCTAATATACATTTTAATATAATCTGTTAATATAACATTTTGCGTTTTTGCTATGCAAACTCTAAGTGTATATAACGAAAAAAAAAAGAGAATAAAAAGATAATGTGTAGAGAACGTGGTTTTGCGACACTACACCGCTTTACGTCACGCGGCTTTGCACCATACGTTTGCGACATTACTGATGCAGAGAGCCCGTGAAATTTCTTTCTGGCTTGAAAAAAAATTAATGATGGACACCCAAGAAGATTTTACCGTTAAAGCGGAGCTGCCTGGCTTATATGCTAGTTGTCGGGCTTAAGTGGAGAGAGAGGTACGCAGTGGTGCGACGCATTATGCGTTGACTACGGACATGTGGATGAGTAGAGCAACACAGCCTTATATGAGTCTCACCATCCTTATCACGGACTGGACCCTCCGCGCTCGGTGTCTACAGACCGTGTACTTTCCTGAGGACCACACCGGAGTGATGCTCGCCCAAGGTATGAGCCTGACATTGCTATGCACTTTTGTACGTTCGCTAGTTTTACTATTATTGGTTTTACTAATATGCTTACACCAATGAACTGTGTGCTTTTACAGCATACGCATCCATTACTGGACCTCACTGATATTATAATTTATTCTGAAGGGGGGAAAAGTGAAGGCTACTGCACCTGTGAGTGTTGTGTTTACACACAAAGGTGCTGTAGCATTCACTTTTTCCCCTTTAGAGTAAATCATACTGTGTGTATTAGTGTGTACTGTTTGTTATAGTTTGTTGTATAGTACTGTTGTGTTCCATGTTTTTAAACTGTGCAGCACGTTTCTCTTGTGACTGCTGAAAAATAAAGAGAACAACTGAAACACCCATAATTGTGGTACAGGTCGTATGATGGATCACATTTTTAACTACACTGACACTCCTATCCAGTAGAACATGTGGGCATTTTAATTAATGTAGTTATTACCAGTGCAGACACATTTCTTCTTAAATAGGCGAGGCGCCTCCTAGTGGAAAACAAGGTAAGTGAAAGACAAGAGAAAAAACTGGCCTTGGAATTTTATAAAATGTCAATAACAAATGAATATTAAATGATTAATTACTGCAGCGCAATAGCCAAGATTCTATACTGTTCACTGTCATGGCCGCAAATTGCATAACTGGTGTTCTTGGTTTGGGGTTGGGATTCTCATATTAGGAAACAAGATGATGGGTAAAAAATAGGCGATGAAAGATTTTTTTCAACCCTGTCCATCTGACGGACTATGAAAACATAAAATGCAACATCAGTTGTGGTATATCGTGATATATATCGTTATCGTAATAATAATAAAAAATAATCCATATCGTGATATAGTATTTTTTCCATATCGCCCAGCCCTAGACCAGCTTGTCCTGTAAATTACCTAAAAAGACATTTGTTGATTTTGGCAATAAGTGAACACATAACTTATTTTCAAGAACAAGAAAACTAGTTCTCAACTTACTTCTCAATGGGCAGCGCATGAGGGCCAGAGATGGAGTATCGATAGAGGAATGTGAGAAACTTGCGGAAAGCATCAAAGAAGGGCCAGTGTGAGAGCAGGCAGATACACTTGTTGGTGAAGACAGAGCTGGCATTAGCGGTGCTGTTTTCAGTGGTGTTGGAGATGTCTGCTGCAGAGTTGGATGGAGATAATTTGCTTTGTTCTGGACCCTGGAGACCCAACTGGGAGAACTGCTGATCAGTCAGGCACTCCTGTGGGTACGGCTCATAAAACTGGATGGCGGCGCCATAAACCTGAAACAGCAGTTAAATCACACCTTCTAAGTACAGAGCAACTCACATCCACAAAAATAAATCACCGGGAACAAAAGTTGTATAATTATATTTTGTACTGTGAATAAAAATGATGATAGCAAAGATGTCCCGCAAACCTCAGCACCGTTTGTAAAGTCTTAGCTCTATGTTAGTTAATCAGCCATCAGCTGGTGTTTTTTATGTGGAACTCCAGAAAATCCAGTATTTTTTTTACAAAACCATTTCACCTCCTGAAATCAGTATAGATATGCTCTGTGAAAAAGTTAAGTTTAATTTTTTCTGAAACGTAACAAATGTAACATTTTTAAGATTTTTACTCTATTTTATGTACGAATATAAATCTGAGATTTCGATTTATTTTTTCCAATAAAACAACATTTCAGACATTACATAACTGCTGTTTTTTTTTTTGTTTTTTTTTTTTCCTTTCTCCAACACCACTGTATCTGAAAATAAGTAAACATTATCTTTCTATATATCAGATTTTACTGATAGCTGACGGCCATCTCATGCTTTGCTGCTCCTGGGCTTTGAAGTGGTCCAGTGTTGACTTCTGTTCTTTAGCCCTGCATGTTTTTTAGGTCTAAAACCAAACTGTATTCTTTTGGTGCACATTAGTGCATAGAGGAAAGATATAAAACATTTTCTGCAGGAAAACATGTCAAATATAAATTATTAGTATAAATTATGTATAGTCAAGCTAGAAAAAAAATAAATTTATGGAATTTAACTCTAGATTTATTTGCTCTCCTGATGAAGATTGGCAAATAAAATAATTTTAAATGATAAAATGAAAGCAAAATAATTCAGTCAGTTTTCATCAAAATTGGAAGAGACTAAATTCTGTTTCTTCAGGGAAGCAATGGCATAAAAAAATCTTTCTCATGGTAGATGCCATCCATGGTGTTTGCTTAATGTAACAATAGACTTTAAGAGAACAATTTATTTTCCTCAATGAGACTAATATGCAGTTTTTGAGTGAGAAACCCTACAGTTGGATCTGGTGTGATGCAACACAGGTAAAAGGTCTGAACAACACATCCTTTGAAGCATTCGATGCAGGTAAAGTATATATATATATATATATATATATATATATATATATATATATATATATATATATATATATATATATATATATATATATATATATATATATATATATATATATATATATATACTGTATATTAGATAAAATCAAAGACCTGGAAAAGTTAAAAAATGAGTCACCATCCTTCCTCCTCATCTCCATGCATCACAGCAGCAACTAAAACCTTTCTCCAAACATGAACACAAACACACAGAGATGTACACACAGTTCCTCGACCCAGCAGCAGAGTCTGACACGATTTGAACTCCTACTCCATTAAACAAGTGCTGAAGATTATTTGTTTTCCTTCTGATTGTGTTTCACCTCATGGTTCAGCGATAGGGGTCAGCTCTGGTCTCTCCCAGCATGACCACTTCACAAACAGAACCAGAGCAGCAGGGTAGGGTTTATGTTTTTGCTTCTGAAGTCAGGAATAAGCATTCCTACAAATTTTCCATCTCAATTCTCTACTTTTTCACAGTGAAATGCCAAGAGATAATATAATCAGGACTGTTTACAAAGTTTTGATTTTATTGTCTGTATGTTGAATATTAACTAAATGCTGAAGTTAATGTCCAATTTAATAAAGAGGGTTAAAGCTATTCAGGTATTTTTAAGGGCTCTATTTTAGTGAAAAAACATATAATACTAATGAATACTGCATCACGGATGAAAAATAGGGCGTGTATTATTTTATGTCAAACCAGACACTTTGGGTTTTTGATAAATGGGATGTTTATTTCATAGTCAACTTTATTATATAGGATCATGTGAGCACTGTACAGCATGAACCCGAAAGTTTTTCATGTGAGCAGTTTAAAATAAAAAGGAAACACCCACAAAAGACATGGATTAAATAAATTAGGAATCTAATAGGAGATAAAATATTGCACATTTGTTCAATTTGTAATCATAATCAAAAAGCTGATTTGAATTAAGCTGTGTATTGCTTCTCAAGATATTAAAAAACCAAAACTTAGTCTGTAATTTATCTTGTAGGTCGAGAGAAAACTGGGCTGGTCTTCCTCTATCCATTTTTTGGCCCCAATACGATACATGGCTGTGCTGTATCGGCCGATACCGATACCATACCGATACCTTCTGTTTGAAATTGATATGTGTGTGTGTATATATATATATATATGTAGAACTGCATACTATTTGGATGTAAAATAATTGCCATCATGGCTTTGTCAAGCTGCTGCTTACCTTTATAAGGCAGGAAAAAGACTAATACAATGTGAATCCAGTAGAACTTTTTATTGCCTTCCTGGAATGGGTGACAGTAGTTGAATAAACTTTTGGCTCTCAAAATGGTATCGGTGCCCTATTTGTTGGTACTCGCCGATACCGACACCTCTATTTTAATACTGGATTGGGGTCCCGCCAGATACTGGTATCGGTGCAACACTAATAACATACTGCAAACATCCTGTGTGCAGCATGTTATAAGGTTTTGTGATAGAGAATTTGACATGTTTTGACCAACCAACAACAAATATGGTAGTCACAGTTTAACCTAAGGGATGCAGTGCACTGAAGGGTTCATTGTGCCTTTCTGTAGTGTGTTTAGTCAGATACAACATGTGCTTACATGACAGTCATCATTATTATCAGTCTGATGCTGCTGGGTATGGAGGGCAACAAGTGTCACAGTTCAAAACTTATATAACTTGTGAAATAATTATTTAAATGCGCCATTAATTTATTAAAACTGGATAAAAATCTAGAATTGATTTAACAAATAACGGCCTCAGTTAAATTAACATTATTTATTTTATTAAGTAAAAATAGATCTTTATAATTTAATACATTATTTCATATTCCTGGGTTGAAGCACACCATTAATTACTTTAAACTGTCACACATCCATCAAAGTCAAAGAGGCGGGACTAGGGCTACTTCCATATAAACCCTTAAGTCTGCTTGGCTGCTTCTCACTGAGCAAGACAAGAAAACTTTTTCCTGTTTTTCTTTTATTCTAAAGGCATTAGAAAAGTCACACCTCTTTAACTTTTAAGCATGTGTGACAGTTTCAATTAATGCATGGTGGGCTTCAGTGCAGGAGCATGCATAAATTTGCTAAATCATATAATAATTATAATAAATTCTTTAGATAAAATGTATATATTTAAGTGAGGCCCATATATTATTTATTTAATACATTCTGTATGTATTGCTAGTGTTAATAATTTAATCAAACATTAAAATGATTATTTAATAAGTCATTTGCGGAACTTTTTACCCTCCATAGTCAGGCAGATTATTCTGTAAAATTTATAATTTACCATCTTACCTTCTCTCCAGAGGCTCCAGTGAGGACAAAGGTGGAAAAAACAGGGAGGGAATACTTGGTGTTTGCTGGCCAGGACTCAATTGTGGCCCCCATGGGAAGGCAGAAGAGAGGGACTGACTCCGGCAGCGGGAATGACTCGTAGTCCTCCTCTGGGTATCTGCTGAATAAGCCTTAAAGAATGAACAAAAACAAGCACTGTGAATAAAATGGAAGTTAATTCTCTGTGGATGCAAATCAAAAGTTTTTCTGGATTCAAATTTACTTTTCCAGCTGTATTCATTACATAATCACAATGATGTGCCTCATTTAATCATGGTAGAAATCCTTAGCTCTATAATATTCTAAAATGGGTAAAAAAGGATTAGTTTTAAGTGTTTATTTCAATGATTTTGTAACAAAGGCATAAAACTTGCCCAACATTTTTTCTCAATGCGCAGCAAGATTTCTTTATAATCTTCACAAGGACTAGAACTGATCTCTGAAGTGTTGGAAAAAGTTGCCTTTACTTTCTGAGTTTGGGATATTGTTAGCATTGCTTAGAGCTGAAAGCTAACACTCTGCAGCCTAAATAACCTAATTTAAACAGAAAGATTATGACTGAACTTCAACACAATGTTAAATTCATAACGTTTACAGAGCTCTTATATGTAAATGAATATAAAATACTCAAAACTGTCTGTAAATACAGACTGTGTCTGTGGCTCAAAGTGGACATAAATTTAACTTTTCTTTGCACATTGACTCATCCAAAGCGTTAGTCAGCCACAGACACAGTCAGCCAGTCTGCATCCCATGTTAATACAACCGAACTCGCTCATCATTATAATCAGGGCAAGTCTTTTTGTGTTTTTGGCTTTCAAAAGCAGGCGTTTCATGTAGAAAGATAATAATAATGTCAACATGACAAATCTGGTAGGTTTTAAGCAACCAAAACTACTGACATACCCGGAGCTTATCTTATCCCTTATATTTCTGGTCTAAATGTTTTAGCAAGCCTCAGCTTAACAGTAAGAGGTTAGAGAAATCCCCTGATGCAGCCGGTACGCTGCACTACCCGTCCTTTAAAACAAAAACATCCAGGGAATATAGAAATAACAGTAGAAATAATCAGCAAAATAATCATCTCTATTAAAAAAGAACATCTAAAAAAGGGGCCCAAGTCCAGAGAAAGACTACTACCCTGCAGATTTTAGATTCATCCCTGCTTTACCACGACTGAATTAGATGAATAGCTCTTCCACGGGGTTCTGCAGAGATGAGGAAATTGAGATGTTTGATTCAGGCAAATATATCTCTACTGTACTGATATTAAGAGTAATATTCAGAACTATTTCTCATCTCTGATGCTGGATATTACAAGCTTACCAGGAAGTGAAAAACAGACTTGGGACTCACCTGCTTTGTAGGCGATTACGTTAGTTTTGGCCACAGACTTCTTGTAACACAAGTAAACAGAGGAGCCCCACTGTAAGCAGAAAAACAATAGCAGGAATCAGCTAGGGGTGTAAATAATAATCGTTTTGTATTGATGCATCGATCCAACAGCCGTCGATCCGATGCATCGACACGTCCGCAAGAGAATCGATTCATGTTTTGTTTTTCCTCCGATTTATTTTTATCCATTTGCTCCTAGACGTAATTCTGACTCCTGTGCTGCGGTGGAACTAAACCTATTTTGCCCTCCTACCTTGCTTCCTTTAGCCACTCTTTTCGCTTGCACACACACACTAGCTTCAACAGTTGTAGTTTTATTTGTTATTGTTTTTTTTCCAATAAGGAATAACCTTAAAAAAAATGCTGGAAAAGAATACAGAAAATAGATTAAAATTCAGGACATACAAAATCGATCCAGCTCATTCCTTAAACCACGAAGCACCTCTAGACTGTTATCCTTAATTCATTTCTTTATCATCATAATATATGTATCTTTTTCCAACGAACGACATGGCTTTCATGTGAACTTGCTGACCCATATTGTCCTGCGTTTCTCTTTCTGTTCTTCCATCTTGCTAATCCCTTCATATCATGTCTAACCCTGCACCATCATCACCTCTGTGAAACATGGTAGTGGCACCATCAGTTTTTGCTTTAACAGGGACTGGGAAGCTTCTAAGCACTGGTTCTAGAGGGAATTGGGCTTAGGACAGAAAACTCCTGGAAGAACACCTGTACCAGCAGGTTGCCAACTCTATATAAACAGTGAAAATTAGTTGACCAAAGCATATTCATTTGTTATATGGGTCCAGTCAAAGTCTATAACAAAAACCAATGTTTACAGATGCTTTCCATCCAATGTCACTGTTTTGGAATGGTTCTGAAAACATGAACAAAATGATCGGCTTTAAGATATGCAAAGCATGTGGAAATGTGGCCCTGATTATATCAAGATGTAATCACAACAAAAGATGTTCCTACAAACTAATAGCTGAGGTTGACTGAATAAAAATGCAAGCCACTTTTTATTAGTAAAATATTCAGAAAACAAGATTCCTGCTTAGCTTTAAACTAGCCAGTCCAGTAAAACAAATTGAAGTTTGCAAGTATAATTTACCACAATGTAATAAAGCAGCTGTATCTGTTTGTTTTTTTTTCATCTGTGTCTGATTAAACACTGATATATTTCTTGTATGAGTTTACTTCATGCACCAACATGGAGAAAATCTTAATCTTTTAACTTTTTGGTTTAATAAAACAATGGGGGCGGCATTCCCTGGTTGAATTTAAACAAAGGACCCTCAAATAAATGTACACTGTCTCCACCATCAAAACCATTAGTGTTTAAGATCCCATTTGGATCAAATTTAAAGTTCTTGATCTGCTAGAATAAGCAGAAACACCAGTTGTCTGAAAACGTAGGACTGTACGAATGATTCAGGAGCAGAAAATAAGAGTGTTTTGCTGCTGGGACATGCATGTGACCTTCAAGCCCCTTAGCAATACAGCACAAGGAATGTTACCACCAAGATCAATATGACCACATGTTCTTCCTGCTGCACTCAGAAATGTAACTGGAAACTATATTGTGCAAGAAAAAAGCTCTGCATGAATCATGTTGGACAGAGAGAAACCCCAAACCTGCTTTTGATCAGATGACTCCATATTTCAGCTTTGTGATGGAAAATATTAAATAGAACCCACTGTACTTTTATCAGCAACCACTAGAAACCTAGCTGCGATGGTGAAGGGGGCATCAGAGGGTGAGCTTTTATGGGGCTCCTTTTTTCCACAAACACTATTAATTCATGAAAATATCAGGAAAACAATGAGCATAGATCACTGGTGTCCTCATTAGGAAGGGTTAGTCTTACAAACAGTTTTCTACTTTTCAGCTACATATTCAAAAGCTAAATTTTTCCACAACTGTTATAGCAATTGTTTTAGTTCAATGCATTATCAAGCTGGGCCTTAACCTGAAAATGCTGAAGATTATCTTTGACTAAAATTGGATTATCCTGAATTAAACCGACATCCCATAAAGTGCATTATGTGACCATTGAAGCCTTTAGTTTGTCAGCAATATTTTACAATCTGTCAATGGTTTGTTTTAGGTGAAACCAGACCCAGTTAAAGAATCTAAACTCCATTTTCAATGACCCTGATTGTAAATTGATTTATAATCCAAACGATCAGTGAGATGGTGCCGTTTCCCTTTTTTTTTTGTATATGTAAGTGTCAAAAAGATAGTGTTTGATGTGGAGGTTCAGAAATACTGGATTTACTGGGGGGGAAAAAACACAGATCTTCAGGATTTTAAGCTCTCATCTTTTATAAAGTGAAAAATTTTAATTAAAAAGGGATTTCATTAGAAATGCATTTACCATAGTATTGTTGAATAAGGTAGCATCTCTTGTGACTGACCCACAATTTCCTAGTTCTTTCTTTTCCATCATAGCAATGTTTGATCTTCTCTCTGAAAACTACAGCCTTGTTGATACATTCTGTATCCCAATATATCTAGAAGTCTATGGTCTAACTGGTCAAAAATTATAACTTGCATCCAACAAGCCCTTTTCAGATACTGATAAGACTAAAAAATGGAATTGGGCTTAATGTGCTGCTGAAGAAAAAAGTCTAGAAACTCAAACATCTTTTAATACTCAATATTGTCAGAAAGATTAGCAACAGAATGGTGTTAAAGCAGTTTTTTTCCAGCGTAAGTTTAAAACATTCACTTCTAAATCGTATGACTTCAGTTCAGCTCTGGTTATTCGAAGATTTGCTAACATCCAAAGTAGCTGTTTAGTTTTGTCATCTTTGGTTCCATCATCTGGTTCCATATGATGACTAATTTGGCCATACTCTGGTTAGCAGTTTTAGTTATTTCAGTGTCGCTGTTTTTCTTTGTTCTGGCCAGCTGTTTTTTTATGGTATTAATTTAGGCCTCTATTCTGTTACATTAGTTCCCTAATATTGACTCATTATCCTGCTTTCCACTCAGCTGTTAGTCCAACCTTGTCCTTCTGAACCTTTTAAAATTTCCACTGTTTAAAAAAAACTTATGTTGTTTTCAAACCTGGAAATCACTATCAGGCTTCAAAAATGGTACTTACTAAAAATTTTTCAAGAAACCGTAGACATTCGATTGTAACGACTATTTTCCTTATCAGGTTTGTTTAATAACTATTAATCAGGGTAAAGCGATTTAGGTTTAAAAGTAAAATTTATGCATTTAATATGTATTTTATACGATATGTTATACATTATTTCTGTTTAGGGCAATAACCAATATTCAACCATTTCATAATTATCTTATGTTATGTATGTTTGTTTCAACTAATGGGTCTAATATGTAAAAAAAAAAAATGCAGAGAAAGATGTTACAGGTATTTCGTGCATTTCTTACCTGTTCAATAATAGGTTTAGCTGGTATGGTTTACTGATCCTTATTCATTTTTTTTTATTACTAAGTGTTAAAATGATGGTCTTGTCATAATACAAAAATAGAAAACACTTCTAATTCATGTATACCATTTATATGCAGGAAACTTTGAAGATTTGAGAGGAGATCACTGTAAAAATAAAGTGATTAATTTTTGCCTGACTCAGAAATGTCACGCAGTGACTTGGAGGAAAGAAAAATACCAGCAATGAGTTCTGACATTTCAGGAAGCTCGCCTCTCCTCAGGCTGCACCTGCTACCTTAGTTTCCTCCATTTGCAAGGATTTTCTCTTTTTTTGTTTTCTTAAAGGCATTGCACGCATTAATGGAAAAACGAAAATTTCACAGGTATTTTAGGTTTCCTTCCATCATTAAGCTTATTTTGCTACTTTTTTCCAGTTGAATAAGGTCAGCCATTATTTACACTGATAGCAATGGCTCTAAAATAGGTACATTCCCATTGTTTTCTTATAAAGACGGTGGTTTATCAGATTCTCACCCTGCTACAATATTAAACTAGAAAGACGATGAGATGAAATAGAACATATGATACAACCAGCCAAATAATTTGGTGCTTTTTTGAGTCCATGGTGATGGACAGGAACAAAAGAACAGTCTGAAAAGCTCAATCTTATCAGTGCTTACAAATCAGAGTTGGCTGTGTGCTGAGGGCAGATGTTCAACCAAGCCAGTGGCTGAATGATTCCTGTCCTAATGCTGGATGGTGGTTAAGGAGGATGAAGCAGTAGGGACTAAGTCAGGGGTCTCAAACTGGTTCCAGAAAGGGCCGTGAGGCTGCAGGTTTTCTTTCCAACCAAGCAATAGCACACCAGACTCCAGTCATCTCATCAAGTGAGTCCAGTCTTAAAGGAATAGTACACCCAAAACATGATTAGCCTTCATTTTCTACTCCTGCAGCCTCACGGCCCTTTCTGGAACCAGTTTGAGACCCCTGGACTAAGTGCAGTATCTGTACAGCTGGACACCAGCAGTCATGCAGCCACACAAACATTTGTTTGGGTTTGAAAAGGTGCAGATATTCCAATCCTTCCATTAAAACTCATTTGGTTTCACCCGTTTTAAGAAAAACTCACCAAACCAATGGTGAGGTAATAAGAGCAGTTTAACACCAAGCCTCGAGTGTCCTCACCATGCTACTATTGAGGTTCTTGTCCACCTTGCAGAAAGTGTGTGGTGGCGTTTCCCCCTTGCTGGGGATGATGATGCAGATATCAGTGACGGCCAGGGAAGCGTGGGGCTGGCTGTCGGGCGCTCTGCGGTAGGTTATGTAGATTCGCTGGGAGGAGTTACTGCTGATGTTTGCGGGTCGACCCGCGGGCGTGGTCTGGATGAGATGGCAGCCCTGTTTCAGTCGCTCCTTCCACTCATACAGGACTCTACATGAAATTAAATAACAGAATTGTGAAGCCAACAATACCAACCAAACTTAAATAGTTCAATTGAATATATTTTTTCAATATATCAATTTTTAAAATATTTGACCAAAAATTAGATCAAGAATAACCATTCAGTTTAAAGGGAAAATGGTTTGTCTTCATTTGCCAAATGCTTTGAATGATATCCTGTGCAACCAACATCCATGTTTGTCAAAGAACACTACTGCTCTCTACCAGTTTGTGACATAAAGGTGCAGTATCGCCTGTAGAACAAGTCGCAATGCTGATCTGGTGTCATCTTGAAAACCTTTTTCTTGAAAACATTTCGCTACATATGACGGGTTTTTTCTCTGGCCAGAGGATAAATGGCAAATCTAATTTCTAACAGGCTTCAGATTGTCAGTAGTATTGTAACAAAGTAGAAGAGATTGAAAATGAAAGCAACTCAGCTTCTTTTGGGCTAAGTAAAAGTCTAGAACAGGGTCGGTTCTAAATATACTTTGTGGCCAAGGTCACAAAGTATATTTAAAGACCTTAAGACTTTATGGGAGCTTTAGTTTTGCTCGAGTATCATCCACAGAAGGCTTCAATGAATAGATTTCAATGGCCAAGCATAACGTAGTCAAGTGCAAAGTAAAGTTTTCGATGCAGTGCTTTAATCCTTTGATGCAGTGAGTGCGGCTACCACCAGGTTCATACAAGTCAAGAAGTCTTCGTTGGTGAAATGATCTTGACTTTTATTTATTTATTTTTATTCATTTATGTGTGTATTTTTCAGGGACAGAACACATTACTGAAAATGACTGTAAATTTGATGTATGAAACTAGTTTTGTCATGGTTTTAGATCCGCTTTAGTTTTCTTTTTGAGTTTTCATTGGTTTCATTTCCATTTTATGTCATTCTAGTTGTTTTTGGTTGTAATTTTTGAGTTCTATGTATTTCTTGTTAACCCTCAGTTGTGTCAGTCTCCTTCCCCTAGCTCCCTTCTAGATGTCTGGTTGCTTGTCGTTTCTTGATCCTCATGCGTATTTTTCCTGACATTAGCTAGTTTTTCGTTTTCTGTATTTTGTTATTTTTGGATTTTTGCCTCAGTTGCCACCTTTTTGAATGATTAACTCTGCAAGAAACTAATTCAAGTTTCGTCTCTGCATCTGGGTTCTCCAAAACCTTCACTCAACCTGACAAGTTTTCAACTGTTGTCCTTGGGCAAGGTGTATAATGCCAACAACAATTATAAAAAAAAAAATCATAAAATAAACAGAAAAAAAAAATAGGCTACATACTCAGAAGGGCAGGTCATACAGTTCAAACAGATACATTATTATAAATAGGTATGGATTGGGAGGTTTAATGAGGAAGAATGTGACTAGTCCACACGGTGCCCTGAGAGTAATCTAATAAAAAATTTTGGAAGAATTAAACAGATGACAGGAAGCAAGGCCTTCTTATTTACTGTTAGATTCAAACCACACTAAATCCTCTAATAGAAAGATGATCAGACATTTCATGAAAAAATTAAAACAAACCCTTAAACAAAGTGGAAAAACCTACTCATATGAGTTTTAACAAGTAGTTGCAAAGGGCAGGCTGAGACCATATCAAAGAGGGATGTCATTTAATGCCTTTGCATACAAAGGTAAATAAACCTGCATATCCCAGGCACTTTGTTTTTATATCCCTGGCTGAATTAAATTGAAATAATTATTTTAGTTGACTAAAATGTTATTTGTGCCCAACTCCTTCCACTTTTAAATATTTGGAGCTCATCATTAAGGTTTAAAGCTAATATGAGTGGACACATGCAAAAAAGCGCTCTAATTATAAGATTTGATTGCTGTAATATGAATACAGATTATATGAATTATCTGTGAAGAACAGAATGAAAATAAGCCACTTTTAAAATAAACTGCAGATAAATTATTTTTTCAAAGCTGATACTCCTTTTACATAGTTGTTAAGGGGGAAGCCTGTTTAATTTTCTTCTAGAAACTAACTTCTTGTACGAAAAATTGAAATAATTTTAAATCTAAATCTGCTGTAGAGATTAACACTAAAAGATCCCCTGAAGGTCAATATCGAGCCACTTTTTCACTTAGGTTTAGTGAGAAATTATCCATAAAAAATAACAGACTGGCTATTTATGCACTGCAATTTTTTAGGCATGTGTACATCTTTTCTGCACTTTTAAAAAAAAACATAAAAACAAACAGCATAACATGCTGAAAAATGAAGTAAATTGAAAACCTGACTAAAATCTAAATTAAGACCTCTTTAAAGGATAAAAAAAAAAAAAAACAGGGAAATTCCATTACTTACAGTAACTCATCCATATGGAAAACATGCAGTTTATTAGCAGCAATTTATGCAAAAAAATGGAAAGCTCTGCAGCACTGCTGCATGCATATTTCAAACATCATAGGAATAACAGAGTTTAATTGAAATTCAAACTCAAGCAATGAGTTCTGGTTGTGGTAAATAATTATAGCATACGGCAATTTTTCATTCTTATTTTGTTTGTGGTTGAGTTGGACCAGTGCATAAAGTATCAAAGACTGTCCTTTTTTTTTATTTTATTTTTTTTATTAACTCTCCTAGTTCTCTATGTCTCTTTTGATTGGTCAGTGTTTGAAGTAGAGCACATCATGCACAACCACTAAAAAAGGACGCCATAGGAGTGTTTTCACTTATAGAAGAAAGATCCAAGACCGTAATAATCAAGACTTCCTCTGTATGGAAAACTTTTTAAGATATAGCTCAGAGCACTTAAAGGCACATAATGATTACAGTGATCAGTGAATTCATTAACTCATTGAATAATCTACCTATTTTTTGTGGGAGTAACTAAAAGAACAACACTTCATATTCCGTCTCAAGCAAAAAGATTTTACCTTTCTGCCTTTTTAAGATGCAGTCCTTGTCATAAAAGCAGTATTGATGTACGCTTTATTGACCAATACAGCATTTCAGTACTATTTCAAACTGCTTTTTGTTTGCCAAATGAGGCCTTGAACAGACCCCTAAAAAACAACCACTTGTGTAAGAAGGTCAAAGGTTTGAAAAGCATTTACAGGAACTGCTTTTTTTTTTCAGCCAGCCCCCCTTTGTTTGGTTTGGGTTTTTTAAGGGTTTGAGAACTTGCTCTACATTGCAAACATGATCTGACAAGTACAAAAGCTCATAAATGTGTAGAAATATTTTTAAACATTTTCTTTAAACTCATGGAAAAACAGCAATATAAGCCGTATCAAATCCCAAGGGGGCCAAAAAAGGTCAGCTAACATTAACAAGAGAGAGGAGAAAAAATGTTTGTGTGTTTATATGTTTTTCTGAATGAGACATAGGTCAGAGTGGATGTGTTCACAATAATGTGCTATTTGGGAGGGATTAGCAAAGTTTTAGTCATTCCTAATCTGTTGGAGTTTATGTCTGAAAGTGGTGATAGATGTAAATGGTGAGGGTATTTATTTTGTTTCAGTTATCTGCTGCTGTGAAGGGAAATCAGTTGTGATCAATAGTGGTACTGCAGATGACGAGTTTGATGTGGTCACTTGACCAAGTATGGTCCTGGCAGTAACAAGAAGAGAGGAGGGACAGGGTGGTGTTCTCCATGGGGTTGTTGTGTAGATTAAAAGAAACCAGTATTGGAATCTTTGGGTATGGAAAAAGTGTAGAAAGATGCATTAAATGCAAACTTGATGGTTGAATGATAAAGAGTGTCTAGTTTGTTGAGATGCCATAAGGCAGATGATGTCATTACAGTTTAGATGGATGAGAAGTATGGTGATCTTACTGAGGGTGTTGTTGGTAGAGAGTGCGAAATAAGCTTCTTTTCAAACTTTGTTACTAAAAGTACAGATCTGATGTCTGTATGTGTGTATTTTGTACCAATCTATAGCTTAACCAGTGGTACAGGTGGTGTCTGAAGAATTGAAGGATTTTTTTTTCATGCAAAAAGGATGTAATTGGTCTTAACGGCATAAGATTGCAAATGGTTTTCTTAGAAGAGGTCAGGCTGATGAAGAAGAGCAGAAAACTCTGCAATGATGTTACTGTTTCCTTACACTAGCAGGCAAGACAATAAGGGTATTAGTCAGAGCCAAGCCAAGCTACCCATGGCAACTCACACCTTTTGTAGAGCTTAATGTTTACTACGACAGTGGTTTAATGTTTGAAAAATGTTGTTTTTATTTGGAATGAACAAATGGTGAGGTATTTCATCACTTATCACAGGCCACTACAGCAACACTCACCAACATTACAGAATCTTTTTTTAATGCATCTACATCAACCTACACATGTGGCCTTTACACATAAGGGGCAAGAAGGAAACCATTGTTGAGGTAAAGCAATAGAAAGTCCTGTTTTCAATTTGATCCCAGTATGTAATCAAAGCAAAGGTGTGGACAATTGTTCTGATTAGATCAGGATAAAATTCTACCGTTTGAGCTACATCTCAGTGTATAGTCTTTCCTTGAAAACAATTTAAGATAAAAAAAAAACTTAGACTTTTTTAATAACCCTAATTAAAGCTGAAGTCTGTAAGTTTTTAAAAATCACTTTTTTGTCATATTGGCTAAAACTGTCCCTATGCCCAGACAGCAGTACATGTGATATGTAACCTGTGAAAAAAACTGCTTCAATTGGTCCCGCATACTGCCTGTATTTCAATCTGGAAAGAATAATTCGGGACGAGTCAAAACAACCAATCACAGCCAGAGGAGCGTCTGATGGAGTGTCAATCACAGCTCACACACGCTGAATCCCCCCCCCCCCTTCTGGTCGCATGCGGTAGCCGCGCAGATGCTGTGAGAGGGGTGGAGCTTGGAGGTGGGGCATGAGTGAAGCAGAGAGGGTGGGGGAGTGGAGTGAAACCTGTTTTTCTTCAAATTTTCAGTCGAAGTCTGCTCTCTCCTCAATGTTACAGACTGCAGCTTTAAGCAATACTTTGAATGAAATCATCTATTAAACCCAAACTGTCTCAAAACACTAACTGTGAAACTATTATCCATCATGTGAAGCAGTATTGGCTACACCTGCTCATTTAGCCCACACAGAAGCCAAGGTGCTGATTGCATCTGAGCAGAGCGGCTGCATCAGTGCCTAATAAGCAATGAACCTTGCTGTTTTAAAGAGAAGAATGAGTCAATTTAGCACTGTCCCTCCCACTGCCTTTGGTGTGGGAAGATTGAGAATTGAATTCACATAATTCAGAGGATCCTGTTTGCAAGACACCTAGAACAGTGCTTAACATTCACCTTCCACAGCAAAATCATGGTGTGGAACAGACTGCGGACAGACAGAAAAACAACTGCTGCGCTTCTGAGTGCTTCTAATCTCTCCCTGAAAGTGGGAAGATCAGCCTTTTAGATGAGCTAAAGTACTGAAGCTGGAAGTTGAAAGAGCAAGGGCACTACACTGTTTATTAACAGCAGTAGTGAACTATAACTAAGAAAGGGAATTCGCTACAAATACATCCTATGCACCATTTAACTTATGAAAAAAGAACTGCAACTTTATAAAGTTTTATAGAAAGACTAAAAATATCTGCATTTAATAGAAAACTTCAAAACAATACAGATGTCTTAAACTGAAAACTAGACGCAGGGAAAGAAAGACAAAATAATCTACAGCTTCAATGACTCTATACCAAGTAAGACTGAGACACTTAATACTGTAGTCAGTACACCCAGCTATCCTATTGCCAACGGATTAATGTATAACACAACTGACTGGATGCCTAGATCACTATAAAAGGCAGACCCTTTGTGAAAAAGGAGCACATGCTGCAGGATATTCATCCTCCAAGCCAAGCTGCCGGAAATTGTAAAAAGCACTTAAGTGGCCTTGGTAATTCTGGTTTCCTGTATGACAGCAAAGTGAGGGATCAGCTTTTAAGGCTAAATCAAAGAGCAAGCGAAACCCTTTGTCTGAGACCAAGGTGCACCGTCCTTGCAGAAACATCCCATGCACCGTTAGATTAAATGGCGTTGCAGCAGGTGAAGTTGTTTTCTGCAACTACTCTATTGTGTGGGAAATAAAAATAAAAAAAAGGCTGTTCATATTTTCCTGTTTGGAAATAACTCTAATAGCACAGTTAACTTATTTGCAAGATACAGTATGTCAATGGAACAGTTTTTAGACCTCTAAATGACAGTAGTCATTTCTGAATAAAAAATAAAAATATTCATTAGGATTTTTCCAATCTATGCAGATGAAAGGTTTGTGGTGAGTTTTATTTCCATTTCATTTAACCTGCCTAGATACCATTTGGTATATTGGTGAGGATGTTGCATCAATCAAGTCATGCCAAAAGTCATGCACCAACCATCTTTTCTTTTTGAGAAAAAGTTTTTTGTGCATGTTTTTGAACAGTGAAAAGATGGAAATTTGACAGATTTTGTTAATTCTCTTAAAACTGGCAAATCATTACAATAGGGAGTTAAATGAAAATGGTTTGACCATTTCACCAGACTTGGAAATAGTCTTGACTGTGAGGGAACATTGTAATTATTAGCATCCTCCAACAATTGTTTAAATTAGATCGAAATTTAATTGTGGTACCCACCCGAGATCAGTGAGCGGCGGTTTGTCCCGGCCTCGCTTGTAGCACAGGAAGATCTGAGGCGCCATGAGGCCTCCGTTGTTAAGATCGGCTGAGTGTCCGGTCGGCGTGGCCTCTATGCAAACGAACCCAGGAGGTACCTCCTCTCCAAGCGAGCGGATCACCAATGCCACATCAGTGATGGGGGCTTTTGGCTTGGCCATCTTGTGGCAAACATCATCAAAGTGGATCTCCTGGTCCAAGGGCTTGGACGTGTCCGTCAGACCGGCAACCACAAAGTAGTCGGCTACACGGGGGCCTTTGTCCTCCATCATTTCCCATCCCCGCCAACTCCCCTCTGAGAACAAAAAGAGAGCGAGAGACATGTACAGAACATCAATTATTGTTACAGAAGAAGCAGGGTTTTTATGCTTGCTTTAGCAGTGCTATAACACTATCTGACAGGCATTAATCTTTATTAAAGAAGAAAGGGCAAATGAGAGAAAGTTAAAGTGTGAAGAGCGAGGGTAAATTTTCAGGTATGAGGCAGGCATTTGAAGATTAGGAAGTTAGCTGATGTAACATTTAAAATTTAACATCTTTACTCAAGGACACAAAGTTTCTATGAGAACAGAGCAGAACTTTTGTTTAGAATCTTAAAGATCGCCATAAAGATCTCTGTTTGCAGGGTTTCTAAACAGTTTGCTTCTAACACTGCTTTCCAAACTCAATGTTCCTGTTTTAGACCTTATACATGCAGTTTAAACACAGCATAAATACAAGAATTTTTAAACAACTTTTGAGAGGAATATCAACAGTGGTTATGCATTAATGTTTCTATTTCCGCTTTTCCCTTTTCCATCACGCTTATCCCTATTGGGGTCGCGATGGGTGCTGGTGCCTATCTCCAGCTGTCAATTGGCGGGAGGCTTGGTACACCCTGGACAGGTCACCAGTCCATCACAGGGCAACAGAGAGACAAACAGGACAAACAACCATTCATGCACACACTCACACCCAAGGAGAATTTAGAAAAGCCAATTAACCTAATAGTTTTTGAACTGTGGGAAGAAGCTGGAGTACCCGGAGAGAACCCATGCATGCACAGGGAGAACATGCAAACTCCATGCAGAACTTTCTGTTGTGCCACTGTGCACCCCTGCTTTAACATTGTAACTGGTAAAAATTACAGACTGTAAATAGTTCTCGATATAGTTCTCGAATAGTTCTCTACAGTAAATGTAACATGTTTTGTTGTTACTAAGAAAATAATGTCTTTTTTTTGGATGGCACAGGAAAATTGTGTCTGAGTACTGAAAAAATGCTGTCTGTTGACGGTAAAGGTCTTTTTCATCAAAATCAAAAGCAATAAATTCTTGGCTTGTCATGAAATCCTAGAGCCTCATTAACTTATGAGCAGCAATTCAGATCACCAGCAGGCCTTTCTAATAGTAAGCTCTTTAATAGTGCTTGTTCGCACTTGATCACTTATTGCTTGCAATGTCACGATCACATAGGGTATTTTGGGAAGACCGAGGACGTGGAACAAATGAGGTGGAAATGTGACACGAACAGCTATATTAGCATCTGGGAGGGAAATTAATGAAGTGAGGAGAAACTTTAGTTTTTCCAGGAAACATTCTGAGTTGCAGCAGTTTTAACGAGCTGTTATTCTCTTTAAAACAAATAATAATAATATAACAAACCTTGTAATATACATTTCTACCAGAAAAGCTGTTATTTGTAGCTATGTCACATACTGCTACATCCCAAAAGGATCATTCTCCATCACTCTCTGCAGACTTGTAATTTTAGGGGTTGTGCTGTCGTAATGTCCCAGAATGCCTCACTACTCTACTCACTAACACAAACCTTCAGGACATGAATGAGTCTCTGTGGGCTGCAGTGTGCATTCATCCTTTGTGTGTATTCTCTTGGTAAATGATGCAATACCACGAGAACACCATTAGAATCATGAGGGCTGCAGATAGGAAATGTGGGAAACAGGTTCAGGAGAAATCCTTTGCAAAAAATTCCAATTAAGCAAAAAGACAAACAAATAAGGAAAAATAAATGAGGGAAATACATTTTAATTTTTCTGCAAGGATTCCCTAGTTAATGTTTTACCAGCTATGAGAAGATTTTGACTTTGTTAAGACCCACAAAATAAGCCGACTGAGGTCAGAGAGTCCAACCATATGCAGATGGAGGGTGTGGGAACAGATTTTCATTAGTAAGCTGTGTTAACTACAGCTATTATGCTGGCTCAGGAGGACATGTGTGCTTTCATGTGATGCAATGCAAGCCCGATTCAAGCTGCCATAACTGCTACACAGATCTACTCTTAGTACCTGGATTATTTTACCTTATAGCTAAAGAATGAACCCCAAGTCCAGACAAGTTGCAATTTTTTTGTTTCATCTTTTTTTTCTGAATAATCTAGTCTAATCCCGAGGGTAACTGCATTTCATTTCAATAATGTAATGAATGTTTCTTTTTGAAAGAAACTGCTTTGTACACACGGAGTGAAGGGAATCATGTTTGTTGATAAAATGAAACATTCTTCTCAGGGTCGGTGAGCTGAGCTCACTTCCAAACAGAGAACAACGTGTGTTTGCTGCCCTGGCTGTCACTGCTGTGTTATTGACAGATGGCGAGAAAACGCTGTTTCAGAGTGTTCTGGCTCTCGTGCTCAAATTACAAACACATCTTGCTTCATCATTTCCACACTCTGGGAAAGTGACGGGGAAAATAAGAACAGCCACAGCATGCTGAGATGATTTACTATGCCAAGTGACTTTTATACAGCTGTGATGAGGCAGAAGGTAGTTTATCCCATCATGTGTCAGCAAAGACTTACAGACATACACAGCTGTAAGATTTACAGCTCTCCATTTTACATTTATTGGCATCACTGATAACAAGACAATAAAAATTTTCAAGTTCTTTTGTTCTGTTTTTATTATGATGCCTCATTATTTCCATTACTGACTGACTGATTGATTGAGTGGTTGGTTGATTGATAAAAATCCATTGAAAAAAAAAAGTACCTTAATCAATCAATTAATCAATAATTTCTTGATGAAACTCTTTAAAACTGAAAAGTCCAGAGAATATACTAGAACTAAGTGTAGCAAATGTGTGTTGATGATCATAAGTTAGGAAATCTAGGAGAAAATGCCACTAACTTAAATTTGATCATATTTACAATCAGAGCAGTCGTTATCTATATGAAGCGGGACTTTTAACGACACCTGTGTGTTTTGGCCAGATGCTATAAGGACGAGGCTTTTAGCTACAAAAACTCCAGGTGGGTTTCATGTGAAACTCAGCAAGTTAAAAGCACCTCAAAATCACAGCGAAGGATCTGGGATACTCTGGCACAAATCGGAGCAAACTGTGAAGAGTGTTAAAGAGCATAGCATGATGAAGCAAATCTGAAGTACAAGGATACTACAGCACTATACTTAAGGCTGAATTACATCTATATGTACCCTGCATAGGGGGCAACCTGGTAAAAACCAGCTCCATAGTCTTCAATTTGTCCTTTATTTATATAGAAGGAATCAACAAAGCAGGGACCCACCCAGACATACATGACAGAGAGGTATTCATTTATCTTAGTTCAGTTTTCCACTGGGAAATTACTGTTCCAGAGTTTATAGCATGTCCAATCCAAAAACGGATAATTCAACTGCTTTAAAAATGAAATTATAATGCCTGTGTTTGAACTGTTTCCTTGCACTAAACTACAATTGAAAAATATTTAACATCTTGCAAAGGTATCCAGTTAAAGAGTATATAAACTCAGTCACATTATGGTCAGCAATTCATTGAATTGTGGCTTGCCCCTCCCAGAGGTCCTTAAAGGGGTCATAGAATGATTATATAGGGTATATGGTGCTGGTCCTTAAGGTCTCTGAATAGTGTAACATTGGTTGGGCTAAAAATGGCATATTTGCTGTTCTATGAGCCATAATACAAGCCTGGTTAAAAGCCCTAGAATTGAAGGACAGGTTTCTTCCTTTTATGGTATGCTCATGAATATTTAGGTGAGCTGTGCGCTGATTGGTTGGTTTACAATGAGCGAAGTTGATCAAAGATGCATCATAACAACAAGCACTCACTCACTGAAACATCAAATTGTTGATATTGTAGGGTGACGAGACGTTCTCTTTTTCCCGGACATGTCCTACTTTTCATACCTAAAAAATTGTCCGAGGGGAATTTTAAAATATTGCGGAATATTCATCAACTACAGTGCAAAACTTAATTTTCCTAACAGTAGTGAGCTTAGTTTGTGTTGATCTATCATATAAAACTCTGATAAAAGTCATTGAAGTTTGTGGCTTAAATGAAATAATATGTGGAAAGAATAAAGGGAAAGAGAATAGTTTTTCAATGTCGTATAAACCTGAAACAGCCCTGTGCAGTAATCTCTTTTCTTTTTCATATGTAAGTCATTACTGGAATCCCCCAAAGGAACTGTCCCAGGATGATGTAAAGCTGTGACTCACACAGATGACGTGCAGAAATTAACATCTAGAGCCAAATATTTTAATTTTCTGGTCAAAACATCACTTCTCTTCGTGCCGTTGACCTGGAAGTCTGACTTAGTCTTCAGGTGAACGCCCAAAGATCGAAGTCAAACTGATTTATTTCCTTGATGAAAAGCAGATTAGCACTGAGCAGGGTACATGGTAAATCCCTTTAAAAAACGATCTGTTCCTTTATGCTGGAGCTAGAGCTGTACAGGGTCAATTTATGCATTGCTGATTAATGAAAATTATGATAAATAATTACAAATAAGCCCTGTTGTTCCACATGACTGCAGACTAGTCATTTTTTTCTGTAAGATATATGAATATTTTGCAATAGCCTCTAAAAAGGATTAATTTCCTCCTATTTTATTTGGAGACATAGAGTAAGGACTTTAAACTTCAGATTTGCTGGTTAGGCTCCAGAGTTGTAGACAAACTTCCCTGCCCAAACTCCCTGACTTATATTCCCAGCTGGAGTTCAGGGAGGATTGCCATATGATGTCCAAGACCCTTAGGCCTCTGGTCTACTTTCATAAGATTTTTGTTTGAGCCAAAGTGACAGAGGGAACGATTTCCAGCTGTCTCAGCTTCAGCCAGAAAGAGGTCAATGAAAACTAGCCATGGGACTCTGGATGGAGGCCCCATTCTCTGCTGCAGCTGAATAGACATCCAGCAACGAGACAGGCACAGCAGGGCAGACACGTGGAGGTGTGAAGGAATGTGCTCAAGAATATAAACACTAGCCAGTAGGAAGTCCAACATCTGTTTCTAGTTAGCAAAGAGCTGCAGGCCTTCAGTTTCTATGTCCTTCAGCAAT